AATTTAGTATGTTTAATGTCAATACCAATTCATTGTCTTTGGTACCATTAAGCATACTGTAGTTTTCTTGTTTGCCTCTTTTAACCAAGTCTAATTTTTCATTTGCCTTATCAGAGATCATGATTGCTATCCCTGCCTTTTTTTTTAAGTTAAGTTGAGGGATTATAACCCTTTATTTTAACTCCATGTGAATTTTTGTGATTCCAGTGTCTATAAACAGTATATTGTAAGATTCTGATTTCTAATCCATTCTGATGTCCTCTTCCATTTTAAGGGTGGGTTAATTCCATTCACGTATAGTTATGATTTTTCCCTCCAGCCTCTTCTCATGCCTTTTTCTCTCTTTGCCCCTCTTTTCTCTCTTTATGAAGAAGAGGGGAGTGAGCAGTGGTCACAGCACTAGTGAATTTTGCTTAATGTAATCTACTTCCACCTTCTTTCCCCAAACAACCACTAACACAATTCCTTACCCTTTCTTTAAACCCTCTTCATGCTCCACCCTCCGAGGTTGGAGGTTGTTTTCCATATTTTGTTTGTTTATGCTTATGACTAATATATCTCTGAATTTACCTTTCCTTGAACCCCCCATTTCCCTTATCCCCTTTCCCCATTCCTCTCTGTTTCTGCATTGAATTGAATGTATTTCTGTACTAAACTGTATATGTGTATGGACTATGGTCTGCCCTTCTTTGACTAGTTCAGATGAAAGAGGTTCAAGCAAAGCCTATCCCCCACCACTTTCTCCTTTTCTGTATAGTCTTCTACTTGTTCATCTAGATTATAGGAAATGGTAAATTCCCCCCCACACACACACACACGTAGGCTTTTCCTTTTCCTTCCCTTTTCTTTCTTCTTTAAGAGCATCAAAACATTACAAACCCTCTCTTATGTCTTATGTCTACCACTATAACCCTTGATGACAGTAGGGCTCTGTGAAGGCACTTGTTTCTTCTATCCCTATTCAATAATAATAACAATAGTAACTAACATTTACATAGCACCTTAAGGTTTGCAAAGTTTTACATTTTACCTCATTTGATCGTCACAAAAACTCCGTGAAGAAGATAATAGTATTTTCCCCATTTTACAGATAAGGAAATTGACACTGAGAAACATTAAGTAAATGCCCAGGGTCATATGTAAATGCTTCATTCCTGTTTAATCCCTTCTACTTGCTCAAATATATTTACCTTTTTTATTTTTCCTGGGGAAATGGCCTTCGTCCTAAATCTGCTTATTTTGCCTTTTGGAATGTTGTTTTTCTTCTCTCTTGTGTGATTCTGATGTGTATCTTATATTTCTTTTTCTTTTCTTTTTTTAAGTCTTTTGGCCATCTTCTAATGTATATTCTAGTTCCACAAAGTCATTCATTTGTGTTTTATTCATCCTAATTTTCACAGACTCTATTGTAGGTTAGGTTTTGTATCTTTTGTGTTCATCTGTTCGTTCTCCTTCCAAGACTTTCCTCTGGAGTTCTTCTTTCTTTTCAGATTCTTTCCACAGGAGATCTCATTTCATTGATTGGGAGTTCCTGGCTCTGTAATGGATCTTCTTGTGGCTGTCTTCCTCTGGTTGTTTGTTTTCTCATTCTTTTATCCTTAATTCCAGAACTGAGAGTTTGTGTTAGGGCTAGCCTCTGCACTCTTATGGAAGGGACGCCTGGGCCTTGAAGGGTCCTGCTGGGTATTGAGCTCTGTGTTCCTCAAGGATATAAGGGGCGGCTTAGCCCCTACAAGCTTTCAGTATAGCCTAAGCAGTCTGATGTAGGGGGATGTTTGATCACTATCTTCCTAGGCTGAATTTTCCAGGCTCCTGACCTGAGTTTGGGTCTGGTTGAAACTTCTCTAGCCTGGCCCAGAGTTGGAGCACCCATAGACTGCTGCTGGCCCCAGGCCAGGCCCTGCTGGCTATCTAGAAGGGTTTCAGGTGCTGAGTGACAGAACACAACCTTGCTTAGGTCTCTGCTAGCTGCCCTGCATACTCAGCTCTAGGCTGCCAGGCTGAATGTGCAAACTCCATCAGAGGTCATAGACAAACAGCAGCAGCTGCCTCCTTTTCCTGTCTTTGTTCCATGCGTAGTTTTGGGCCTGGTTGTGCTCACCTGTGACCTTTACCTCAGTCCACGTCAGATTTGTGACCCAGCTTCTGGGTCAGAGAACCCACCTGCACAGCCTTAGGTCTCTTTGTGCTGGATTAGTGATCCTAGCCCAGTCCCCAAGCTGGAAGGAGGCTCTACCTGGGCCTTCCTGACTGGACTCCCTTCCCACTAATCCCAGGCCTCTGGCTACATCCTTTTGCTGACCTGAGCTAGAAACATGACTGATTGAGGGGAGATTTTCCATCCAATCTCCTTGAGTTTCCCAATCTTGGTCAGGTAATTTTCCTTAAGCTTTGTAGCTGGCCTATGCTGCTTCTTCCTACTCTACAATCTTTGCTGATTTCTATTGAATTTCATCTTCAGATCCTTTTGAATCCTGACTCTGTCATCCACTCTGCTAAATATCCCTTCCAATTTTGTGCCATCTGCCAATATGATGTGCACTCCATTTGTGCCTTGGCCCAAGTCATCAATAAACCTGTTAAACAGCACAGAGACCAGTACACATCCCCAGGGCACTCCCCCAGGGTGCTCTTCCCACGCAGACCATTAACCATTAAGAGTGCTCTTTGAAAAAAAAAAAAGAGTGCTCTTTGAATCTGGTTATCCAACCTCTCCTGAATCTATCTATCTCCATCTTCTCCACAAGAATAGGTCGGAGATACTTTCTCAAAAGCTTTATTAAAATCTAGATAAGCTGCATCCATGACACTCTCCTCATTTACCGGATTAGTAATCCTGTCCCAAAGAGGAAATGGGGTTGGTCCAGCATAACCAGTGCTTGATGAAGCAAGGCAGGGCCTTTGGAATCACTGTTTCCCTTCCCAACAGTCTCTTTAATGAACCCTTCTAGAATTTTGTCAGAATTCAAAGTCAAGTTCACTGGCCTATAGTTCTGTTCTCTTCCCTCTTTGGAAACTGGGACATTTGCCCTTCTCCAACCTCATTGTTCCTCTCTGGTTTCCCTTGATTTTTCAACTATCACCGTCAATGGTTCAGCAAATTCACTCACTAGTGTGAATGGTGAGTGAGCCTGTTAGGCCTTTTTTTCTGCTATTTCCAATGCAAAGGTCATTCTCCTTTGCAAAAATAAAAAATAAAGAATTAAGCAGTCCCATCCACCATAAGCAAAGTTCTTTTTTTTTTTCTATCAATGTAGCTTTAGAAAAAAAAATTTTTAAAATTACACTTAGCTTCCCTTGTCATCCTCAGCTAATTGTGGTTTTTAGTACTCCTGATGCTACTTTTATAAGACTGAATATAAGGCACGCCCTTAGAGTCATCTTCCATTACCTGGTCTCGCTTCCATCATTTGAGTTTTTCTTTTTCAAATCCAAGTTGGTTGGGGAGCTCTCTGCTCAACCATGTCCATCTCTTCAGATAAATACCATTATTCTGCCCCATGGGAATTAGTTCCCTCTATGTCTTGTACGTGTATTTCTGGAGCACTTCCCGCCCCTCGTAAGCTGACTTCCTCTGTCACATTTTAGATCATGGGGTCAGACCCATCTTTCCTCTGAATCCTTGGAAATCTGCTTTCCCGAAATCTAGCGTGCATGTCAGCCTATGCAGAGGCAGCTGGGGGCACAAGAAGGAAAGCACTGGGCCTGGATTAGTAAGACCTGAGTCCAAATCTGGCCTCAGACACCTACTAGCTCAGGGACCCTGGACAAGGCATTTGACTTCTGCTTTCCTCTGTTTCCTCATCTGTAAAATGGGCATCAAAACAGCACCTGCCTCCCCAGGGTTGTTGTGGGGATCATATGAGATAATAATCATAAAGCACAGTGCCTGACACATAGTCGGTGCTTAGTGAATATTTCTTTCTTTCTCTTCCCTATGCCCAGTTTCCTCTCCTCTTTCACACATACACTCCTATATCACTTCCTCCTAGGGTTCCCATCTTTTCTACTCTTATAGCAAGATTCAGATTCAGAATAGACCACCCTACCCCCCCATTGCCCCCCTGCCCCATGCTTTAAGGATGAATTGGCACTAAGGTAAGCCCAAAAGTTCTTAGCTGCTCTGAGAGAAAGAGACAGACAGAGAGAGACAGAGACAGAGACAGAGAGGAGGGGAGAGGGGAGAGAGAGGCATAGAGACAGAAACTGAGAGGTAGGAGGGGAGAGATACAGAGAGAAGAGATATAGACACAGAGAGACTGAGAGATATGGGGTGAGGGAGGAAAGGGAGAGAGAGAAAGAGACATGAGGGAAGAAGAGAGAGAGAGAGAGACATAGGGACAGACTGAGAGATAGGAGAGGAGAAAGACAGAGACAAAGACAGGGAGGAGGGGAGAGGGGAGAGAGAGACATAGAGACAGAGACTGAGAGATAGGAGAGGAGAAAGAGACAGACACTGAGAGATATGGGGTGAGGGAGGAGAGGGAGAGGCAGAGACAGAAAGAGGCCCCAGCAGGTGTCTGGCTCCTGGAAATCTCCCATCAGTGACCGCATATCCAGTTATAATCCTGAACATCCCCTCCATTTCCTTCCTGTCTGCAGGAAGGAAGTCTCCCTGACTAAGCCATCTGAGCCTCAGTCATGACCTGCCTGACCATGCTGAAGCACCCTGCCCTTGACCTAAGGCTTGAGGCGTTCTTGTCCAGGAGGGCTAATTGTACACTTGACCGTGTATGCTTCAGCCCCTTCCCCCTACCCGTGTGAGTCCTCCAGCAGCCTCACAAACCTCCAGAAATCTCAGAACCCCCAGAACCCCTAGAGACCATCTGATCTGAGCCCTTCATTTCAGAGATGACTGAACTGCAGGCTGAGAGAGAAATGACTTTTCCAAAGTCACCCAGCAAGTGAAGGAGAGAGGCAGCTGTGAGCTACGGCTGGCCGGGCACATGATAGGGGTTGGGTGGGGCATGGCTGGAACCATGGTGAAATTCTCTTTGCAGAGATCAGATGACTGGAGCTTACTTCAAATACAAGGGCATCAATTTCCCTGTGGGCCTCTATGCCCCAGAGACCATAAGCTATGTTGAGAAGGACTTCAAAGTCAGGGATGATGACATCTTCATTGTCACCTACCCCAAGTCAGGTAAGAGGAAAAACCCAGCCCTCCATAGGAAACCTCTGCCTGCCCTGGGCCCCCAAAGTGAGGGCACAGAGACCCCAAATGCTCCATTCCACACATCTCTTTGCCCTCTGACCTCCCTCAGCGTCCCCTCTGACCTCCCTCAGTGTCCCCTCTGATCTCCCTCAGTGACCCCCTCTGAACTCCTTCAGTGACCCCTCTGACCTCCCTCAGCACCCTCTCTGACCTCACTCAGTGTCCTCTCTGACTTCACTCAGTTTCCCCCTCTGACCTCCCTCAGCATCCCCTCTGACCTCCCTCTGTGTCCCCTCTGACCTCTCTCAGTTTCCCCCTGTGACCTCCTTCAGTGTCCCCTCTGACTTCCCTCAGTGTCTCCCCTACTTCCCCTGGTTTCTCCCCTGACCTCCCTCAGCATCCTCCCCGACCTCCCTCAGCGTCCGCCTGACCCCCTCAGTGCCCCCCCCTGACCTCCCTCAGCATCCTCTCCAACCTCTCTCGGCATCCCCCCCGACCTCTCTTGGCGTCCCCCCCGACCTCCCTCGGCATCCCCCTGATCTCCCTTGGCGTCCCCCCTGACCTCCCTCGGCATCCCCCCTGACCTCCCTTGGCATCCCCCTTGACCTCCCTCAGAGTCCCCCCTACTCCCCTTGGTTTCTCCCCTGACCTCCTTTAGTTTCCCCTCTCCCTAACCACCTTACCGCCATCTTTCCCTCTAGGTACCACTTGGATGATTGAGATTCTGAGCCTAATGCTGAAGGATGGGGATCCTTCTTGGTCGCGCTCAGTCCCCAACTGGGAGCGGGCTCCCTGGTGTGAGACTGTCCTGGGCTCCTTATCCATCATGCAGATGACCAACCCCCGCCTCATCACCTCTCACCTCCCCATCCAGCTCTTCCCCCGGGACTTCTTCAACTCCAAAGCCAAGGTAAGCCTGGAAGGGTAAGCCGCACCCAGGGCTCATAACCAGTTACAAGCGAAGCCCAGTGAATGGAGTCCTGAAGCTCTGTGTTCAAATGCTGCTTCTGACACTTACTAGTGGTGGGCCCTTGGACAAGTCATTCCATTTCTCTGGCCTCTATGGAGCATTGTGCGGGTCGTGAGGGTCCAGGGAAGCCCTATACGCCCATCAAAAGTGCCACGATGTTCTGGGCAGCCTGGCAGGGGCTTTGACCCAGCTGGTGGAGAAGCTCAAGGTCAGACTGACTCCCCCATCCCCCAGGGTCCCAGGATCTCCTTGGTGGCTCCCCCAGTCACGATCTCCGTCCCCTTCCTGCCCAGCCTTCCCTGGAGGGCCTGGGTCTTGTTCACCAGGCTTCTTGGCTAGAGATGCTAATTCATCATAATGATACAATAGCTTTCATTTCTCTGGCCCTTTAAGGTCTCCCAATAACAACTGGAGGTGGGCTGAGGCATCAGGTCGTGTTAAGTGACTTCTCCAAGGCCCCACAGGCAGCAAGTAAAAGTGGGAGGCCCTGACCCCAGGCCTCACACTGCTCAAAGTTAGGGGGTGGGGGGGAAGGCAAGGGGAGTGAGAGGCCCGTGATCGAGCCCTTACTGGTTCCCTTAGGTAATCTACGTAAGCCGCAACCCCCGAGATGTCCTGGTTTCCCTCTACCACTACTACAAGATCGCTGGACACCTCAAGGACCCAGGGAGCCTAGACCAATTCTTGCAGGATTTTCTCAATGGAGAAGGTGAGGACCAGTGCAGAGACATGGGCCAGAAGGATGGAGAAGCAGCCACTGGGCTAAAAAGGCATAGAGATAGAGATGGGAACAGAGTCACAGGGAGACCAAGAGAGATAAAGAAACAGAGAGACCTGGGCAGACAGAGAGAAAGGAACAGAGATGCAGGGAGACAGAGACAAAACAGAGAGAAAAGCTGGAGACAGGCCCCTGCAGACAGAGAAACACAGAGATCCAGGGAAACAGAGGCAGAAAAAGATGAAGATAGGAAAACAGAGATAGAAAGGAGAGAGAGAGAGAGAGAGAGAGAGAGAGAGAGAGAGAGAGAGAGAGAGAGAGAGAGAAAGAAAGAGAGATAAGGGAGGGGAGAGAGAGAGAGAAAAGAGAGAAGGGAGAGGAGAGAGAGAAGAAAGAGGGAGAAGGGAGGGGAGAGAGAAAAAGATTGAGAGAGAGAGAGAAGGGGGGGAGAGAGAAAGAGGAAGAAGGAGAGAGGAAAGGAGGGAGAAAAGGAAAGGAAGGGAGGGAGGGAAGAGGAGAGGTGGAGACAGAAGCAAAGACAGGCACTAACTAAGAGAACATTGAGAGAGATCCAGTGAGGAGGGAGGGACAGGCCCAGAGACACAGAGAGATTGGACGGAAAATGAAGTGGCTGAGGCAGGATAGTGCTGGGGCAGGAGGGGTGGGAGTGGGAGAAAGACCTGATGTTGGAGGGTGATGAGGCCCTAGTGGGGCCTGGGGGGAGGCAGAGGGAGCACGTGGGCAGTCAGTGAAGGGCTGTCATGGCAGACGGACTGGTCCCCTAATGTTCCTGTGTCCTTTCTCCCAATCCTCAGTACAATTTGGCTCCTGGTTTGACCACATAAAGGGATGGAGGCGAATGGAGGGAAAAGACAACTTCTTGTTCATCACTTATGAAGAACTGCAAGAGGTCAGCAAGCTGTCTGCCCAGACCCCCACCCTTCTGTCCTTCAGTCCCTCCCCTCCTGCATTCCTCCCTTCCCCTGGCTGGAGGGCAGGGACCTGGGATGTGAGACCACAAGTCCCCACTCCCCTACAAATCCAAGTGACTGTAGACAAGTCTTCTCTTTGGGCCTCAGTTTCCTGCTCTGTCAGATGGGTTTATTAGCCCATGGCTGTCCTGCTTAACAAAATGGATGTGGGGCTCAGACTGGGTGCTTGACAAACACCTAAAGTTGTCAGCGATGACTTGATGAGTTCAGTTTAATCCCCTGCAATATACAGGACGTTATGCTCTAGGCTAAGGATACAGGAATGGGGCAAGTCACAAGCTTTCCCCTCCAGGAGTCGCCTCTCCAACAGACAACAAGACATGTCAGTGAATACCTGTGGTAGAAGGAAGAACTGGGTAAACTGGGAATGTCCCTCTGGGCACCACAGTTTTGGCAGGACTTGGATAAGCTGGAGAAGGTCCTGAGGCAATCAGCATGGGGAAAGGTCTCGAGGTCATGGCATTCAAAGGAACTAGAAGGTGGCATGCCTCAACCATGAGCAGATTTTTCCTGGAGATCAAGGACAGCTTCTAATAATGAAAGTCGCCCCCCACCCCAATCCCGTTCTCTCTTCCTCAATACTGTGCCTTAGTGATCTCAGCTCCCATAGATTCAATGATCATCTCTGTGCTAATGATTCTTACAGCTACTTATCTAGCCCTGATCTCTTTCACTGTCCTGTTTTGTCATGTTGGCCAATCTGATAGGTGTGATGTGGTACCTCAGAGTCGTTTTGATTTGCATTTCGCTAATCAATAATAATTTAGTGCATTTTCTCATATGACTATAGATAGCTTTAGTTTCTTCCTCTGAAAACTGCCTGTTCATATCCTTTGACTATTTATCAATTTATTGACAATTTATCAATTGGGGAATGACTTGTATTCTTAGAAATTTGACTCAGTTCTCCATATATTTTAGAAATGAGGCCCTTATCAGAGACACTGGCTGTAAAAATTCTTTCCCATTTTTCTGCTTCCCTCCCAATCTTGGATGTATTGGCTTTATTTGTGCAAAAACTTTTCAATTTAGTGTAATCAAAATTATCCATTTTGCATTTCATAATGTTCTCTATCTCTTGTTTGGTCATAAATTCTTCCCTTCTCCATAAATCTGAAATGTAAACTATTCTTTGCTCTTCTAGTTTGCTTATAGTATCAGCCTTTATATCTAAATCATGTACCTGTTTTGACTTTACCTTGGTATAGGGTGTAAGATGTTGGTCTATGCCCAGTTTCTGCCACACTGTTTTCCAGTTTTCCCAGCAGTTTTTGCTAAATAGTGATTTCTTAGCCCAGAAGCTGGGGCCCTGATCTCTTTCTAACCTAGAGTCCCACATCCTTCACTGCCTGTTGGACATCTCCTTCTGTACGGCACATAGACATCAAAAACTGAGCTCCTTTTCTTTCTGGGCCCCCTCCCTGAACCTTCCCCACTTTCTAGCTTCCTCTTCACTGTCAAGGAGGCCACCATCATCCCCACCCACCACTGTCACAAGCTCATCTTCATCCTTGGCCTCTCCCTCTCACTACTACCATGGTCTGACTGATGTCCCTGCCCCAATCTAATCTCTCCTCCACTCAGATGCCAGAGTGCAGGCCTGACTATATCACACACCTCCTCCCTTCCCCAATAAACTTCAGTGACTGCCTATGACCTCCAAGATCACATCTAAAGTCATTATACAGAGGCATTGAAAGCTCTTCCCAGTCAGTCACCATCCTACTTTCCCAGGCTGTTCATACTTCACTCCCCTCCAAACACTTTATGAATTGGCTCGTTTTCTCTTCTTCTATATCACCTTCCATCACCATACCTTTGAACCAGCTGTGTTCTGTGCTTGGAATGCTTTCCCTCCTTCACTGATGTCTTTGAAGGCTGAACTTGGAAGGCATTTTGTTTAAGAGGCTTTTCCCACTCCCCATTGTCCCAACCCCCAGCTGCTAATGCCTTCCATTTCAGACTCACCTTCATCTACTCTGTGGGTATCTTGACTCCACCCACTTATTTACATGTTGTCTTTCCCATTAGACTGTGAACTTCCAGAGGGCAGGGATTGGTTTTTCCTGTTTTTAGATCTCCAGAGATTAGCACAGTGCCTGGCACCTAGTCCAGGCTTGATCAATGCTTGCAGACCAAAGGTAGGATGGGCTGCTTTGAGTGGTGGGAAGCTTCCCCTCACTGGAGACCTTCAAGGAGGGGCTGGCTTCCCACTGGTCCGGCTGGTTGTAGAAGGGATCCTTGTTCAAAGACTAGTTGAACAAGATACCTTCAAGGTCCCTCCCAGCCCAGAGCTTGTGATAGTTAAATGAAGCCACTTGAGAAATTACAAGTGGATGAAATCACCTCCACTTGGGGCTTGGATGGTAGGGTGGGGAGCCAAGGAAAGGCTCCCTGGAAGAGGTAGCCCCTGGGCTGGCCTTAATCATCATCATAATCGCCAACATTTACGTATCGTTTATTATGTGCCAGGCACTGTGTTTGAGAGAAGAAAAGTACATCAGCAGGCTGAGGGGTGGGGGTCCCTTCCAGGCATGGGGACAGTCTTATGAAAGGGGAAGGCAATAAAAGAGGACAGTTCAAGGACAAGGGATGGTGTGGCCATCCACCAGAGGAGGGAGAGGAGAGTGGGACGAGCTAAGGACTATGAAATCAGGCCATGCCAGGTTGGGGACCTTACATGCACCCTTCGCACTTCACTTGGATGGCCCTGGAGAGCTGCTGAAGGATGTGACCAGAGCAGATCTTTAGCAAAATCTTGGGGACAGCGTGTCCAATGGAGTTTGTCGAGATGACTGGAGGCAAGAAAGCCTGAATTAGAGAGGAGGGTGTGGGAGTTCATAGGATGAGCTGGGTGTGAGATTTATCATGGAACTGCCATTGGCAAGCCTTGGCAGCTGGATGTGGGGCAGGGCATTCACAGGGGAGAGACAGAAGGACCACATTGATCTGAGGGGTCAGCCTGGATGACCAGGAAGGAGGAGGGAGGGGCCCACTTAGGTGTGGGCCAGACTTCCTGAAGGCACACAGAGAAGTGGGTCTAGGGTAGCAAGAGTTAAAGACAGGCTGAATGCAAGGGCACCACTAGACCATCCAGGAGAAACATTCCACTAGGACCTCCTTCCCAACATTTCCAAAACAAGCGTTCATTTCCCCCCTTCTCTGCTCTTCTTCCCTGGTTCCCTGTCTTGGGGGGGCATGGCCAGCCTTCCTCCTTGAGGGAAGGAGGTTCAGAATCTCAGAGTTCTCTTCTCCCTCCCCTTCCATGTCCCCTCGGGATCAATTGTGACTTCTCTCATAGCAGTCTCCAGACCACTTCTCCCCATTTTCATGGCCGCCGTCCTCACTCCAGCCCTCCTTGCCTTGGGCAGCTACTAGCAATAGATTTAGGGCTCATTTCCTTTCTTCCACTCTCTCCTCTCCAACAAAAGATTTATTTGTCGAGGTTCCTCGATGCCTTTCTGTTCTTGCATCAGTTAGCTACCCAAATATCAACCTGGAACTCTTCCAATTACAAATTCTACAGATGTGAGTAGAAGGCATCCCAAGGTTCTGTGTAAGCACTCAAGGTTACAATGCACATGCTGGTTATGGGACAGCTCTACTCCACTCTATAGAGAATGCCCCAGGCTCTTAGAGGAGACCCAAAAGCATTCAGAAAGCTCATAAGGGGTTCATAATAGCCACTCAATGACCAACCTAATTCTCCCTCTCCAGTGGGGCCTCCTGGTCCTTAACTCTTCTTATTATAGCCCCACCCTATGAGTTGGGCTCCATCTGAAAGGGAAATAGACCTGGAGCTGCAAGATAGGCAACACCCTAATATTCATCTTTTACCTGCATGGGGAAACAAGACATGCAGCCTTGTGACTTCTCTGTAGGAGGCAGGATTGGGTAGTGCTTAGAACACTAGACTTGGAGTTAATAAGACATGAGTTTGAATCCTGCCTCAGACAGTCATTAGCTATGGGACCCTGGCAGAGAGAGCTGGGTGGGCCCAAAGCCAGGAAGACTCATCTTCCTGAGTTCAAATCTGGCCTTAGACACTTACTAGCTGTGTGACCCTGGGCAAGTCACTTCCCCCGTTTGCCTCAGTTTCCTCATCTGTCAAATGAGCTAGAGAAGGAAATGGCAGACCACTCCAGTATCCTGGCTAAGAAAAGCCTAAAGGGGGTCACAGAGAGTCAGACACAACTAAATAATAAGTAAAGACCCTGGATGAGTCACTTACCTTCAGTTTCCTCATCTACAAAACGAGGGTGTTGACCATGATCATCTCTGAGGTCCCTTCCAATTTTACATATCTATGACTTTGGAGAAGGAAAATGCACTTGGGGCTGCTAGTCAAGCCATCCTCCTTTTTGTCGGACCCTGTGGAGGGCAAGTTCCCACTTGCTCCTTTCCCTGGAGGCACACACAGAATTCTTTTCTTTCACTCCCCAGGAAATTGTCCATCTCTCCAGAGAGAACTGGATTCGGGGGTCCCCTCTGAGGCAGCCTGCAGGACTGCTCACCGCCTGGCCAGCCTGTTTGTCACCTCCCCATGCTTCTGTCCCTCCAAAGTCTGAAGTGAAAAGGGAGAAAAGGGGTCCGCAGCCCAGCAAAGGAGAGGCTTGCCCCCAAATAACCCATCTCACAGCAGGAAGAGTCAGCTAGTGACTCCTGGGGGCAGCCCTACTTGCAGACTTAGTGAGGAGCTGCCGTCCTCCCTTCCACAAGGCACTCTGAGCATGTCCAACACAGCGTCCACAGAAAAAGGGCTTCCTTCCCTGCCCTGGTCTTGGAAGTCCCTGGATTACCATACCCCCGCATACACATGGAGAAAGCAAACACATCTAATGTAGGGATGGCACATGCCCTATTCTACACCCGCAGTCCCCCACGTCTCTCTCTTGAGAGCAAGAAAGTGTGCTCATGTACATGAGCTTAGCTGCTTCTGTAAGGCTGGTTTTCACTCATTACTGTAGCTTTTGGCTATGTTGTTCTCTTGGGTCAGACTTCTTTGCAGCATCGCATACAAAGGCTCCCACGTTTGAGTGAATTTTTTATTCTTACTTAATAAGAATCGCTAATATTCACTTTTTTTTTGTTAGTTCATTTGTTTTGGTCAAGTCTGACTCCACATAACCCCGTTTGGGGTTTTCTCGGCAAAGATACTGGAGTGGTTTGCCATTTCCTTCTCCAACTCATTTAACAGATGAGGAAACTGAGGCAAACAGGGTGATGTGACTTGCCCAGGGTTACAGAGCTAGTAAGTGTCTGAGGCCAGATTTGAACTCACAAAGAGGGGTCTTCCTGAGTCTAGGCTTTATCCACCTAGCTGCCCTAATATTTATGTAGCTCTTTGAAAATATTTCTTTTATCCTCGAAACCACTCTGGGAGGTAGGTGCTATTACTGTCTGCATTTTACAGATGGGGAAACTAAGGCAGGCAGCGGGGTTAAGTGATTTGCCCAGGGCCACCCAAGTAGCAAGTGCCTGAGTTGCTGATTTGAACTCGGGTTTTCATGACTCCGGGCCTAGCGCTTTGTCTCTTGCGCCACCTCGTGGTCTCAGGCAGGCTCATTTATATTCCATCTCAAGTAACACAGTTGACTTTGGCCATCCGAGCCGGCTACTCAAGTCTTTGGCCTCCTTGTCAGCGGCGGGACCCCTCCCCATCTCTTCTCACAGGCTCCAAAATAGCCCTCCTGGTGCACAGGCCGGACCGCGTTTATTCTCCCTGCTCTGAAGTCTCCCATTGGTCTCCAGGAGGGTCATGAACGCCAGAGGGTTTGCATGCTAAGCACGACATCGAAGACCCTCCCGGACCCCGGAAGGAGGCTGGAGAGGCAGCCTTGGAGGCAAGAAGGGAGCCGCATGCAGAGGCCAGGCACGGTCCCTGGGCGTGTGTCCAGCGGCTCTGAACCCGTGCTGGGTGCTCCAGCTTCTAGCTATCCCAGGGATGCTATCCTTCGGGGGCTGGCCAGCGTGGGGCACAGCAGACTGGAAGGGACCTTAGCCTACTTCCCAAGGAAACTGAGGCCCAGCTCATCCCGGAGGAGATGACGCTGGGAGCAAGGTCACCTTGGGCTCCCATGGCGGAGGGGGCCTGTGCCTCGGTGGCACTGTTTTGTCGTGCTCGCCCTTGGCCCGGCCCGACAGCCCCTCTCTCCCCGCAGGACCTCCGGGGCTGCGTACTTCGCGTCTCTGAATTCCTGGGCCATCCGTTGGAGGAGGCGGCCCTGGGCTCCGTGGTGGAGAACTCGACTTTCCCGGCCATGAAGGAGAACACCATGTCTAATTACACATTGTTGCCCTCCGTCCTGTTGGATCAACGCCAGGGGGCCTTCCTCCGGAAAGGTCAGGGGCAAGGCTGGCCCTTGTGGAGGAGGGGTGGGGGTGAGGGACCAAGCATTGGGGAAAGGATTCAACAACTTTTCAGCTAGAGGAGGTCTCAACATCCAGCGAGGGGAAACAGGCCTAGAGGCGGGAAGTATTCAATGGAACATTTACTGATAACTCACTGGGGGCTCAGGCCTTCTGGGGGCCGGCTCAGGAGGCTGCAAAGCCAGCCTCTGTCCTCCGAGACTTCATTTCACCCTGGGGGAAACTGAGGCTGAGAAGAAGGGCCTGGCTCAGGGTATCTGTCACACAGCCACAATTTCAGCTGAGCTGTCCTGGGCTGCCCGAGGGGCAGAGAGGGCGAGAGGGCCAGCCCTAACTGCTCCCCCTTCCTGTCGCCCCAGGGGTATGTGGTGACTGGAAGAACCATTTCACTGCCGCCCAATGTGAAGTCTTTGACCGGGCATACCGAGAGAAGATGCAGGGACTGAAGACAACCTTCCCTTGGGATGAAGCCCCCGGGGACACCAGCCCTGCCCTCGTCCCGGGGGCCTGGGACCTGTGACCCCTGGAAATAAACACCACACCAGCCCCTGACCCTCGCCCTGAGTCCGTTCCTGAGCCAGGTTGGGGGCCGGGGGAGGCCAGGCCTGAGGGATGTCCCCGGGGCCAGGGATGGGTGGAGACAGAGCTAGGGCCCAGCATCCGAGCAGGGGTGAGGCTACCAGGAAGGAGGGTGCAACAGGTGCCAAAGGCGTGGGAAGGCCCCTGAGTCACAGCGAGGCTGGGGAGTGCCTGGGTCCTTTCCAAAGGTGGGAGGAGGGCACCTGGGTGGCAGGCAGGTGATCCTGGGCTGGCCCTCCCAGACAAGGGGCCCTGGACACTAGGGCATGCCTCAGTGCCTGGGGGGGAGGGGAGCGTGAAGCGTGAAGCGCAGCTTCCCAGCTGGATGGGATGGGCTTTCATCCTCAAGGGGCCCAAGGCTGGCACTCGCTGACTGCTCCCTCTGTCCACTCCTAAGCAGGCTCCTGGGGCAAAAGCAGCGCTCACTGGTGGGGGTGGGCCCAGTCAGGCTGCCCATGGCCTTGTTGCCCGGGCTCCTCCCCGAGCCTCCTATGGGCTAGCAATGGGTAGTGGAACCGCCCGGGGGTCACGGGCCAGGCAGGGTTGGCCCACCGGCGCACTGGGGCTCTGGGATCCTCACTGGCCCCCCGCTGCCTCATCAGAGTCATGGCAGGCGTGTCTTGGGTGGCCCATGGAGTCTTTGGCTGGAGTGGGGGAGAGAGGGCCAGAGTGAGCCATGCGGAGCTCCTGGGGACCAGGCATGGGGCAAAGAGAAAGAGGCTGGGGCTGGGGGTGGGGGGAGGCAGAGGGGGAGCAGGAAGCAGGTGGCTGATGGTGCCTGGGAAGGTCAATATTTGCCGAAGGAGGGAGCGCTGGGTGAAGGCAGCTGGAGATGAGGAGCCCAGCCCTGTCTGCCCAGCCCCCTTTGCCTCTGGTATCGCCTCCCCCTTCTAAGTCTCCTCTCATCCCCACATTGTCCCCTCTCGGCCAGTCTTGCCTCTAGGCCCCCCTCCTCCCAGCTCTTCCTCCATGGCCCTCTGCCACTTACCTCTTTTCCCAATCTCCCATCCCCATCACTGGACCCAGACAACTGGGAAAGGCAGCTCAAATCCCAGAGGGACCGGCTGGGCCAGGGAGAGGGGCCACTGGTGGGCCGGACCCTCTGGATATTCCTCAAGATATCGCTGAGGGCCGGCCCAGTGGGTGAGGGCCTCTTGGAGTCCTCAGAGGTCTGCCAGGTGACCACGTGGTGTTGGGGTGCATCGTCCTGGGGTGGCAGCAAGACAGGGGCCACGGAGCGGCGGTGGGCGATGTTGTGGCGGCCCCGGGCCAACTGCACTCCCTGCAGGACACTGAGGAAAGGGCCCGAGGAAGGGGAAGGGGACAGCGGGTGGGAGGTGGCATAGAGTGTCCTGAACTCTCTGTCAAAGGCCTCCCAGATCTCCCCGGTCAGCAGGGTTACCAGGTTTCGGTGCAAGCGGGAATCGCTCCAGGTAAAGCTGGAGAGAAGGGGGATCAGTCTGAGAATGTCCATCCCCTAGCCCGCGACCCCAGACCCACACCCAAACACACAAGCGCCCCTCACTGCTCCAGAGGGAGGGGGGGGAAGGACATCAGCCTGGGACTTCCCAAGTAGCCCCTGTGACCTGAGGGCGGACCAGGGGAAGGTCATGGCTCTGTCATGTTACTGAATTCCACATTATCAGCCCATTCCGCAGGACAAGGGGGCCAGTGAGGGGCTGAGAGGGAAGGCGGCATGGTCTAGGGGAAAAGGCAGGAGGGACAGTGCTCAGACGCATGGTGGTCAAGGCAGACAGATGCCCAGCGCTTGGAAATTGAGACAGGAAGCTGGCAAAGAGATAGTGCCAAGGCAAAGCCTTTGTCCTGGGGGTTCTGTGTTCAGAAGGTGTGGGAACCCCACCTCCTGGCACCTGGGCTGCTCTGAGGAGCCCCCTCCCATTTCACAGGCACCCACAAGTGTGATCAGGACTGCCATAGGCTTCTTCCACCTCCCCATGGAGTCACCCACGCAGGCACGACCTGCAGCATTCTGCACCAGTGGGTGTACCTGGCCGGGTCTGCTCTGCTGGGGCTGCTGTGAGCCCGAGGCCAGGCGAGGCAAGGAGAGAGCCCACACCAGGCGGGCTCTGGGCATTGGATAAAAGTGTGCGCAGGCAGAGGCTGGGTGCCTGGCTCAAATGGGCTGGGGGAGGGAACTGGGGGAGAAGGGGCGCGGCTGACACCTGTAGGAGCCTGTGATGACACAGTCTCCATCCACCATCACAAACTTTTCTCTCATGTCCCCATTCACATGCTTCTTCCTCCGGCTCTGGAAGCCACAGCCTCTCAAGACACGGACCTCGAGGTTCTGAGGAGGGAAGCAGGGACCCGGTGGAGTCAGCTGCAGCCTCCCCTGCTTCCAACCCGGCCCCCCGGCAGGAGGGGTCAGCAGGAGGAGGAGAAGGGGTGTGGGGCTCAAAGCTGGGGAGGGAGCTGTTACCTCCATGGCTCGGGGGTTCACCCCCAGCTGCTGGGCCAGGGCCAGGAAGGCAGGGAGATGGCGGTGGCCCAAGAGGATATAAACGGGAACCCCTCGGCGGATAGCAGCCTCGCGAAGGTCCATCAAGAGGTCAGGGTCCGTGAACACATCCATAACCACTGCTATCAGCTAGGGGTGGGGAGAAGGAAGTGGCAGGTACCTGAGCCCCCGTGGGGCGGGGAGCAGGGGCAGGGGGCGTGCAGGAACCCACCTTCTGGGCGTCCTGAATGGTCTTCCTCACCAGCTCCTTGATGGAGGGGTCCCCATCCCCAGGGGGCTGGGTATAAAGTCGGGCTCGGGTGATGCCCTTCCACGGCTGAGACTCAGGCCAGCCCAGGCCCAGATCTGGAGGTGGCTCATCAGAGCGGCCCGGGAAATAGGTCAGGCTCCCCTGCTCCGGGACATCGGCCCCACTCTCCTGGTTTGGGGCCTCTTCGTTCCCAGCTCCCCAGTCCTCTGCCTGTGCCTCCAGGCTCCGGACCTCCTCAGCCGCCAGGAAAGGCAAGAGCTTCTCCCGGAGCAGGCAGGAAGCAAAGGCCCCAGCTCCCTCGCTCAGGAGGGTCTCCAGGGCCAACCTGTGGCCTTCTGAGTAGAGGAGGCCTGGGTTTGCATTGCTGGGGGCAATCTCATCCAGAGAACCCTCCCCAGCTTCATCTAGAGCTGCCAGCTGGGAGGCCGCCATGACCTCAGCCCTCCCAGAACAGGACCCTGCCCTATCTGCCGCTGACTGCCCAGTGGGGCTGTCTCATCTCCTTACATCTGCATCTCTGCCTGATCCCAGGGGGCTCCCACCAAGCCTCTGAACCAGCAACAAGCACCCCTGCTTCTGGGAGGCCTGACCATCAGCTCCTTGTCCCTGGCACCCCTCTGCTGTCAGAGGGCCCCGCTGGCTCTCAGGCAGCCCCTGCTCCAGCTTGGCTGCTTGCCAGCGCGGCCAGCTAAGCAGCGGCCCTTCCCCTCAGATAACACTCCGTCGTGGCCCCCTCCACATGCACCCCCTCCAAGACAAGCCTCAGCCCCTGCTACTGGGGAACTCCAAAGGACTCAGGAGTTCCAAAATCCTCGTCTGGGACAGGAGAAAGGGGCAAAGTCCTGGAGAGGAAAGCAGAAGGAAGGAGTGAGCCCCAGCCTGGCTAGCTTCTTACCCTTCTTCTATGACCCAGAAGCAGGGTCCCCCAGGAAGGGCAGGGCCCCAAATCCCTCAGGGGATAGAAAAGAGGGGGCCCGGCAAAGTTGAAGGGGCTTGCTCAAGATACTACACAGCTCCCAAAGCCCCCTTCCCCAAATAATGGCAGGGGCCATCCTGGTGATAAACAGGCTGGAAACCCCACAGGCCCCTTTGCAAGGCCCAGCCGAGCAGACCCTCCTTCAGAAAACCTCCCCTCATGCAGGTCTCCTCAGCGCCCATCCCCAGAGCCCTAAGCAACAGCCCCAGGTCTCCTGTGACCCCCCACCCCGTACCCATAACCCCTCCCTCTCCTAATTCTTCCCCTGCCCTAAATAAAACACAAGGATTTCTCCACTCCCTTAGCATGTGATGCCGGTACCTGGGTGCCCTTGCCCGCCACCTCATTCATTCTAGTACTGGCCAGCCAGAGAGACAGAACAGGCTAACAGAGACCCAGCCCTGGCCTTGAAGGAAGCACATACAGGGAAAGCAGCTCACCTGCCGCTCAGCTTCTGCTCCCAAGACACCCAGATCCCATGTGCCCATTAGGGCCCGAGCCTGACCCCTTTGAACCCTCTAAAGGAACTGTGGTCCCAGTCCTTTACAAGAATCAAGGCAGTAAAACTAGGAAACAGGCATGTGACAAGGAAGGGCAGAGATGCCAGAGGTGGAGAGGGTGGGGCAGGTGCCTCAAAGGAAGGGGAGGACACCTGGGTCCTCCAAGGCGGGGCCCTGGCCAATGACCGCCCTCCCGTGCCAGCCTGCAGAGCCAGTGAAATCCAAGACCAGCACACGTCTTCAGCCAACATCTTGGGTGGCCACCTGTCATGAAGCCCAGGTGGGTGTAGGGCCCCCTAACCCCCAGCTCCCAGAGTCAGCACAAAAACACATACAAAAAAAGTGTTGTCCAAAAATCTTTACTATAACAAGGAAGGAGTTAGTTTTTGTAGCCTCGGCTGGCACGGCGGCCCCTGGCACGCTCGAACTTTCGGCCCTTGGATCGGACATACGGTCTGTGAAGAGAAGAAATGGAGCGTGAAGCCCAACTCCCACCCCCCAAGTGCCCCCACCTTTCCCCCCACCAGCCTCTTCCTCCCCATAAGACTCACTTGGTGTGGCTGTGTGGAGTGCCCGGTGCCTTCCCAAAATGCCTGTATACCTCACGGCCCTTCCGGGGACCTGTGCAGGTGGTGGGGCGTGGGGAGAGGACATTTAGCAATGACCTCTCCCCAAGCCAGTCCCATCCACCCCTAAGACAAGGGAAGAAAAAGAGCTCACCAGACAGCAAGACAGTGCCCCGGCCCTTGGGCGAGCTCATGGCCAGCTGATCAAAGGTAAGAATCTTCCCACCAGCCTTGAGGATACGATTCCGGGCATTGCTAGTAACACGAAGGGCACACACCTGCTCCAGGGGAGGGAAGAACTCAGTGATGGGGGTGGAGAAATATTCCAAATATGTCCCCTCCCCACCAAAGAGTCCAGGCCAGAATTGCCCAGGAGGCCCAGGGGCCTGCTCCACACCCAAGAGGATGACCTCTTGCCAACTCTTTGCCCTGGAATCCAATCAAGGGGCCAACCTTCAGTTTGGGGACATCCTGGATCCTCACATCATCCGTCACGGTCCCAACAACCACAGCTGTCTTGTTCTCCCTGCCAGGCAGCTTCATTTTCCTGATCTTAAAGAAACATGGCAAAGAGGAGGCAGGAGATGTAAAATTAAGGCCCATCTCCAGCACTTTCCTGCCTGACTGTTAGCTCCCAGGTTATCCCAGAGGAAGCTGCAGCATCACAGGATCTGGGGACATTAGGGTCCCTAGAAACCAAAATTATTTTCCTAATTTGCAAAGGGCAAAATTGAGGACTTCCCAAAGGGAAGCTGCTTGCCCAGGGTCCCCAGAATGTACCACTAACTGAGATTAATTAGGTGGCCTCGTGCATAGACCACCACACCAGGAATAAGGAAGACCCAGACTTCAAATTCAGCTTCAGATACTTCCTAGCTATACGAATCTGGGAAAGTCACTTAAGCTGTTTGCCTTAGTCCCTTCACCTGTAAAATGGGAATAATAACAGCCACACCTCCTGGGATGGTTGTGAGGGTCAAACAAACTGCGTGCACACAGCAGATGCTATGGAAAAGCTAGCTATTCTGATTATCTATGCACTTGGGAGGCTTCTCAGTGATGGGAACCTTTCCCCTTCCAGAGTGGGGGCTGCCACTTCATCCCTGCCGGCCCGGGCTTACCATTCGGGACAGGGACAGAGGAGGCCGGTTGGTCCGGCTCATGAACAGCCTTTTCAGGACAACCTTGTTGAAAGTCGAGTTGGTTCTACGGGCCAGGAACCGGTAGAGCTGGACGGCAGGGAGACAGATGAGGCGGCCTGGTCAGGGCCCTGGAAGCTGGGACCACTCTCTGTCCTCGCCCTCCGCACCCCAGGCGACCACGCTGCCCAAGGCCCCTCTCTCCATGAACTACAACTCCCACAATGCCCTTCCACGACCGCCCCCACCCCGTCGGACAGCAGGGCAGAACTACAACTCCCGGCAGCCCCTGCGGAGGCAAGGCGCCGCGCGGAGGAGCGAGCTGCTCCAGGGCCGCTGGGAGTCGTAGTCTGCCCAGCTCGGGCCGGGCCTCACCTTGACTAGCAACCGCAGATAAATGTCCTGGCTCTTGGGCTCCTTGCGCCGGACTTTCCGATCCTTGTTATGGCGGATGTCGACTCCCTGCCCCGAGAAGAAGCAGAAAAATCTCTAAGCGCTTGTCGCTTGGTGTTGGGGGGTTGGGGTGCCGGTAAGGCGGGGAGCGGGGACCACGGGATCCCCGAGCGCTTAAAGGGCGGCAAGGGCAAGACAAGGCCTCGCAGGGCTGGAAGCGGGGCCGGGCCAGCGGGTCCCCAAGGGCCGAAGGGTGACGGAGGCCGGAGAGATCTCCAAGTGCCCGCAGCCGCCCACATCTCCCCATCGTCCGCCCCAAACCCCGCTCTCGAGTCATATCGGGCCCGCCGCCCCCCGCCAATGGGGCAGCGGAGGCCGGGAACGCCCCGGGCCCCAACTAGCTCGGCCCCGGCCCACGGCGGCCCCGCGCCGAGCCGATGCCGGCGGATTCCCTCCGCACTTACCATGCTGGCCCCCTACCGAACACCGGCCCGACCAGGAAAGACCGACGGGTCGCGGGGCAGGCTGGGAAGGCCAGCAGGGAGGCCGGCGTGCCTGACGTCCCGGCAGGATGGGCGGGCACGTCGAGCGCGACACCGTCTCTCTGTGGCGCGCACGGCCTCCTCTCTATGGTTGCCCCTCCCTCCCCGCTTCCCCTCCAGTCGTAAGGCGGGGGGGCGGTGCGTCGCGCAGGGAAGGGCAGCTGCGCAGGGCGAGCGGCGGCGCTTTTGCTCTGCTTCGCCTGCATCTCGGTGGTCCTGGGAGGCCCTGCTGGCTGAGGGGCAGGGGCGGGCATGGAAGGCGCAGCCGCTTCCCGACAGTGGGCGGAGCGCAGCCGACTCACCAGGGTCCGGGGTGCCCGCCCAGTCCTGCCAGCTGTCTAACCGCAGGCCCTCCCGAGCATCCTGGGTCCCCAGAGCCCCAGCCCCCACTGAAGGCTTACCCCGTGCGAGTTCGGAGTCTGACCTCTGTGCCACCCCCAGCCCTGGCCAAAGTGGTCAGACTGGCCCGGCCAGCCTAGGGGAGGTGGGGCAGGGAGAGACAGAGAGAAAGAGACATACACACGCAGGGAGAGAGACAGGAAAAAACACACAGAGACAGACGGGGGGGGTTGGGGGTGAGGGAAGAGACAGAGAGAAACAGAGACAAAGGGGGGGGTGAGGGACAGAGACAGAGGCAGGTATGAGGCAGAGACAGAAAGACAGTCAGAGAGGATGTGTGTGAGGGAGGGACAGAGAAGGGCTTGTGAGGGAGAGACAAACAGAAGGGGGGGGGAGACACACACACACAGACAGGGAGACCAATAGAGACAAGAAGAGAGAAGCAGACAGAGCCAGAGAAGCAGGCAGAGGCCAGAAGACCAAAAGAGGCAGAGACATTGAGACAAAATCAAGAGATGCAGAGAAAGCGGGGCAAAGCCAGAGAGGTGAGGTGAGGTGATGAGGAAGACAACACAGAGAGATCAGGGCAGAAAGTGAAAGCCAGAAACAAGAGGAAAGAGACAGATAGAGAGAGGGAAATCGAGGCAGAGGGTGAGTCAGAGAGGAGACCGAGAAACAAGCAGAGCTCAGATTCTCCCCATCCCCAGTGCCTCCTCACTTCTCCAAGCCCATCTTGCTGTCAGGGCCCTGGACCCTCCATTCCTGCCCTGCATGCCCACAAGCTGAGGCTGAGAGCAGCTGGACAGAAGAGAGACAGCCAGCCCCCTGCTGCCAGCATCAGGTCCAGGTTTGAATGAGCTGGCTCAAGTCTGAGGAAGTGGAGGCTGGGGATGGGGGGGTGGGTACTCCTCCTTCTGCCCTCTTTGAAACTGGCTATCTGCCTGACTTTCTATGACTCTGTCTCTCAATGGCTGACACCCCCTGCCCCCTTGTGTCTGTCTCCCAAAACATCTGCTTTTCCCAGTGTCTCTGAGGTTTTGTTATTGTTCAGTCGTGTCTAACTCTCTGGGACCCCATTTTAGGGTGGAGTGGTTTGCCATTTCTTTCTCCAGCTCATTTTACAGATAAGGAACCTGAGGCAAATAGGGTGAAGTGACTTGTCCAGGGTCACACAGCTAGTAAGTGTCTGAGCCAGTTTGGAACTCAGAAAGATGAGTCTTCCTGACTCTAGGCCCAGCCAGGTGCTCTTAGCACTATGGTGCCCACCTAGCATTGGGGAAAGGGCCCTGGGTTCCAGTGATGCTACTGTTACCACCTGGCTATGTGACCTTAGTCTGGTCCTTTCCCCTGTCTGAGCTGCAGCTCCCTGTCCTAGAGCCTTAGCTGGGAAGGAGATGACTATAGGTTGTGTGGCCCGCCTTAACATGCTGTATGTAGGTAGGTAGCATGCCAATGTTTGTAGTGAGTCTCTGCATCATCTCTCTGGGTCTCCAATATTCAATCCCTCCTGTCTCTGAGTTTGTGTGTCACTGCAACACAGAGGGTCTGTTTTCCCACTTCTGGGTCTCAAGCTCTGTGGGAATATGCACCCCCCCAGGACCTCTGCTCTTGGCAGGTGCCTCATTGTCTCTGTAGGTGCCCAGGATCTATCTCTGCTTCCACTAAGTCTTCTCTTGCCTTGTCAATTTCTGTCCAAGTGTCTTTGTCTGTTTCAGGGTCTGCCTCTATTTCAGGGTCCCTGTCTGTTTCAGTGTTTCAGTCTGTTTCAGGGTCCATGTCTGTTTTAGGGTCCCTGTCTGTTTCAGGGTTTCTGTCTGTTTCAGGGTTCCTGTCTGTTTCAGCGTCTCCCTCTATTTCAGGGTCCCTGTCTGTTTCAGGGTTTCACTTTGTTTCAGGGTCCCTGTCTGTTTCAGGGTTTCAGTCTGTTTCAGAGTCCCTGTCTGTTTCAGGGTCTCTGTCTCCCTCTCTGCAGCTGCCTGTCTTTGCCCTTCTGTCAAGTCTCTCTGCATCTGTCTGCCCCTGCCTCAGGGTGTCTTCGAGTTTCTCTGCCTCACAACGTTCTCCGTCTTGTTGTTTGTCTCTCTTTCTGTGTCTCTCAATATCTCTGTCTGTCAGCTGCGTCATTCTCTGCCTTTGCATCTCTATCTCTATGTCTGCCTCTGAATCTCTATGTCTCTATGTCTCTGCATCCCTGTCTCTCCTGGAGAAAAGCGCCTGCGCGGCCACCGCCCATAGTAAATATGGCGGCCTCAGCTCACAACCTCCCCTGTTATGGCGCTGCTTCTCGCGAGATTCGCCGGGCCGGCAGAGCCCCGCCTTCCCCACGATCCTGTTGGTTTATCCAAGTCAGGCCTACACTTCCATTGGCTGAAATCCCACACACCTCCCTCCCACCCCTTACCCTCCCCACAGTCCTTTGGACCGATACGGGAAAGAAGGGCCCGGAGAGGGGCGGGATTTCCGGATGTGGGGAGGGGGCAGGGTCAGATACTTGACACTGAGCAGAGATTGAGGGGGAGACGGGAGACTGTTGTAGTGACCCAGAGACCCTACGAGAGACAGAGACTGATGAGACTCTTGGAGAGACACAGTAACGTGGAGCCTGGGGGAGACGCAGAGCCCAGATGACGGGGGAGACGCTGGGACGGAGCTAGACAGAGGCTTGGGGAGCCCCCGGGGAGCCCGCGGGATGGGGGCCTGACGCTGCGGCTGCCGGATCCCGGAGGGTGAGGGGCCGCCGGGCTCAGCCAGCCGGCGGGCGTGGCGGGGGCGGGGTTGGGGGCAGCAGGAGCAAAGGTCGGGCCGGGGCTGGGTGGGGCGGGGGCGCCCGCGCCCCAAGCAGGGCCTTGGCCAGAGGCAGTCGGGCCCCGGGGCGCCCCAGCCCTTCCTGCTGCAGTCCCTGATCGCTGGCCAGCCTGGGGCTGCCACTTTCCGGCTCGCCGCGTCCCTCCCTCTGGTCCCTGGGTTGTCCTGCCCATCACTGGCCTCCGCTTCTCTCACCCAAGGTCTCTGGGTTTCTGGTCTGTCTTTCGTTAGTGCCATCCTCGGTGCTGGGGTGTGTTTTGGGGGGGAGGGTTCTGATCCTTCTTTTTCTCTCCTCACTCTGGGTACAAGAATCCTCTGGGGAGCTCTCCCCCCACCCCCTCAACTCCCTTAGGGTCTGGTCTGTCTCCTTGGCCCTGGGGTGGGGGCAGAGGTCCTTTGGCCTTGACCTCTTTCTGCACATCTCAGAGACTTTGAGTGCCCTGGAGGTAGGGAAGATGGGGGGGGGGGGGAGCTGGAGGCCTAGTAAAGAGATGGGGTTTAGCAAAAGGGTGGGCTCCATGAAATGATTGCAGGCCATCAAATGGTGACTGCTTGGTAGGGGCATGTGGGTCAGGGAGAAGTCAGTGAGGGATCAGTTGGTCTGGGCCAGATCTCTCTCTTCCTCCTGTGTGAGTTTCCTTCCCTAATCGGGCCCTAATTTCTCCCTCCTTCTGTCCCTGCAGATCCTGGCGTTTGGAAGAGAAGAACTGAGCTGACCTCCTTGGTCTGGGGGAGTCAAGCCACAGCCCATAGTACTGGTCCCTGGGCAGCCCAGGCCAGGTGGAGGTGGGCCGGGCCATGGCAGGCACCCCACTCCTGCATGGGGAGTTTGGCTCCTATCCAGCCCGAGGCCCCCGTTTTGCCCTGACACTCACTCCAGTAGCCTTGCATGTGCAGCGGCTGCGCCCTAGACCAGAGGCCTGGCCCCAGGGGGGCCTGGTCCCTCTGGCTGAGGTCTCTGGTTGCCGGACCTTGCGTAGCAGCTCCCCTAATGACTCTGCTGCTTACCTGTGCGTCTACACTTATCCACGAGGCCGGCGGGGTAGCCGCCGGCGGGCAGCTCGGACCTTCCGGGCCGACCGGGCCCCTGATTACAAGGAGAATCACGCAGAGGCTCAGAGATGGGCCACGGCTGTCACCTGCCTACTTCGAGGGGTGCCCTTGCCTGAGGACCTTGGTGAGCTGCAGGGCTGGGGTGGGGAAAGGCCACCTAATGGCCGGGGGATGGAGGGAATGAAGTCCAGAAGGAAGCTAGGGACTCCAGGTGGATGCGTTCAGGAAGCATGAGTGGGATGGCCTGGAACAGGGCCTGGGTTCACAGGGGAAGGGGGTGGAAGAGAGGTCAGGATCTGAGGAGATGGATCCTGGGAGGAGGTCTAGGCACCCTAGAAGGGGACAGGAGAAAAGGGGAGATGCCAGCATCAGAGGTGGGGGGAGGGGTCACGGAGGGGCCAAGAGCCTGTAGCAATGAGGGAGAGAAAGATGATGGCTAACCTAAGGGAAGAAGCCAAGAACCCAAAGTGTAAGGGGCTGCAGGAGGGAGAGACCACAGCCTGGGAACCAGAGGAAGAAAAGCCTTATGTGGCGTCTCCATCTGTGGGATGTCTGTCTTTCATTCATTAGGTTTCTCTCTGTCTCACACACACACACACACACACACACACACACACACACACACACCCATACCCATCTTAGCTCTTTGTGTTTCTGTATTTGTGTGGCCACATACCCAGGACCCCTAGAGGAGGCTGAACCCCAAACAATAGCTGTGAAGACTTTTGGCCCTGGGTGTCTCTATTTGTGATCTCTTTCTGCACCCTCCCTCCCCCCCACCCCATTTCCAGGTCAGGCTTCTTCATACTCTCCATGTCTGCCCCACCCTCTCCCTCTGCTTTTGGCCCCTCTTCCAATCTATACTTCTATTTCTCCCCCAGCCCCCCATCTCTGTGCCTGTCTCTCTACCCCATCTCCTTCCCCTTCTCTCCACACCCCTCCCCCATCTCTGTGCCTGTCTCCTTGCCCTCATCAGGGATGGATGGATAGGAGAGGGGAGTGGCCTTGTAGCCTGGGAACTGGGACTCTCAGTCTTTCAGTCTCCCTGCTTGCCTCCCAGGGCTCTCTTTTTTGTCTGGGTGACTGTACACCTGAGAGCCAGAAGATTAGGTGGGTGGGGCACTGTAAGCCTAGAACAATTAGCTCCATCCTTCCACTCTCCACCCCCGCACCTGGGCAGTGTGCCAGGACACCTGGGGCCAAAGAACAGAAGTGCCGAACCCCACTTGGGTGGGTGGTGTGGGAGAAGCCTGAGCCTTGGGGTGGGGGGAGGGGATGTCAGGGAGTACACCAGAGAGAAAGGTCACATGGGGATAGGGGTGTGTGTGTGGTGGGGTGGAGGACGAGGGAGTCTCCAGAGGGTAGGCAGGACTGGGGATTCTCTAGAACCTCATAATGTAATAGAGTTGGGGAGGGGGCATGGAACTTCAGAAACACAACTCTCAGCAGGGCCTAGGCTCGCTGGGCTCCCTGCCCGAGGGAGTTCGGCCCTGAAGCCTTCTGGGAGTTGTAGTTATTTGCTCCCAAGACGGTTGACACCTTTCTTGTCTCCTTTGTGCCAGAGATCACCCCAGAGCTCCTGCCCCGGCCCCCCCGGCTGCTCCTATTGGTCAATCCCTTTGGGGGGCGGGGCCTTGCCTGGCAATGGTGTAAGAACCATGTGCTGCCCATGATTGCTGAAGCGGGGCTCTCATTCAACCTCATCCAGACAGGTGAGCCCTGGCCTGGTGGGTGTAGGGATGCCGGTGTGTCTCCGAGGTGGGGAGAGCGGGCAGCTGGCGAGGGCCTGCCCACCTCTCACCTTTCCTTCTCTTTTTCCCCCTAGAGCGGCAGAATCACGCCAGGGAACTGGTCCAGGGGCTGCGTCTGAGCGAGTGGGATGGGATCGTCACTGTCTCTGGAGACGGCCTGTTGTACGAGGTGAGTGGGAGCCAGGTGGCCCTGCTGCTTAGCCGGGGGGCCTGGAGTACCTACATGGCCTCTCTCTGCCCGCAGGTGGTGAATGGGCTCCTGGATCGCCCTGACTGGGAGGAAGCTGTGAAGATTCCTGTGGGAGTCCTGCCCTGTGGCTCTGGCAATGCTCTGGCTGGAGCAGTCAACCAGCATGGGGGGTAGGCAAGGGACCTCCCCTTGGGCTCCTCCTCTTCCTCCTCTGCACCCGTCTCCACTTTCTGCCTGTATCTGCCTGTCTCTGCATCTCCTCCTCCCTTCCCTCTATCTCTGACTCAGCATCTGTGTTCTCTGGCAGGTTTGAGCCAGCAATGGGCCTAGATCTGCTGCTGAATTGTTCCCTGCTCATGTGCCGGGGTGGGGGTTCCCCGCTGGACCTGCTCTCAGTGACCTTGGCCTCGGGAACCCGCTGTTTCTCCTTCCTGTCAGTGGCATGGGGCTTCGTATCTGATGTGGACATTCAGAGTGAGCGCTTCCGGGTTCTGGGCCCTGCCCGGTTCACCCTTGGCACAGTGCTCCAACTGGCCTCCCTCCACGTCTACCCAGGCCGCCTCTCCTACCTCCCAGCATCCTCCCCAGCCTCCAACGGTCCCCCTGCTCTGTCCCAGCCTCTTCCCCGAGCTGCCTCTGAACTGGCGCTGGCCCCAGCCCCAGCTTCAGCCCCTTCACAAGACACTCACTCACCCTTGCACCGCTCAGTGTCTGACCTTCCCCTGGCCCGAGGGGCAGACTTCCCCCCAGAGCCTCAGCTGGATCCCTCCCCCTCCCCCTCATTCCCCAGGGCCCTGCCTCCTCTCCCCTGACCACCCCCTCCCCCCTGGGCCTGGCTCAGATCCAGCCTCCAGCTCCATGATGGAGACAGTGCTCCAGGGTTCAGAGCCCCCAGCCTCCTGCAGTCCCTTGATGTCTTCTGCCTCCCCAGCCTCCCATAATTCCTTGGTGCATTCTGACCCTCCAGTCTCCAACAGTCCCATGATCTCCTCTGATCTCGAAGCCTCCCCTTGCCTCCCAGTGTCTTTAGACATTCCATGCTCCCCTGACTCTGCAGCCTCTCGGACCCCATCAGCCTTGTCTGCTGCTTCTTCAGCCTCTGAAGATCCCGGGCAACTCCTGGCCCCCCATCTCTCTTCCTCCCCTCCCTGCCTGGACCGTGGGGAGGCTCCTGCTTCCCCGTCAGCCCCCTCCAGTCTGTCTCCTTCCTCTAAGTCACAGACCTCCCTGGAGCCTGGGGCTTCTCCCGTTTCAGAGTCACCAGCCCCTGGCACCCGCCATGGCCCCAAGGATGACCTCTTGCCTCCCCTGGGCTCCCCACTGCCCCCAGGCTGGGTGACCTTGGAAGGAGACTTTGTGCTAATCCTGGCCCAGTCGCCAAGCCATCTGTGTGCTGACCTGGTGGCAGTCCCCAACGCCCGGTTTGGGGATGGCCTGGTGCACTTGTGCTGGGTGCGGGGCGGGGTTTCCAGGGCTTCCCTGCTCCGACTCTTTCTGGCCATGGAGAGGGGGAGCCACTTTGGCCTGGGCTGTCCCCAGCTCGGCTACGCTACAGCTCGAGCCTTTCGTCTAGAGCCGCTCACCCACCATGGAATCCTCACAGTGGATGGGGAACAGGTGGAGTATGGGCCTGTCCAGGCCCAGATCCACCCTGGCTTAGGTACCCTGCTTACAGGCCCCGAGGCCCGAGAACCCCAGCTGGCCAGGGGGGAGGCCTGGGGGCCCAAGTGTGGAACTGTCCCCTGGGGAGGAGGCAAAGCCTAGCCCTGGTATCCTCCCTAGGCTGGCTGGGGGAAGGAAGCCCAGCCTCCAGGCCCAGCATCAGCTCTGGGCCTGTTGGTTTGGGGGAAGGCCTTGCTGGGTGGAGACAGCATCTCTACTGGTTCCCTGTCTTGGGCTTCTGCTGGAGGGTAGAGCTTTGACTCTCTGGCCACAGGCCTGCTCCTCACTCTCTCACCTCAGGGGATGAGGCTGGTCACCAGGGCCAGTCTCCACATAGGGACCAGGGCTGGAGACAGGGTTTCCAGAGCAAGATGGACCTCCTGAGAGTAGAGCCTCCCCCTCTCCAGACTCATGATGGGACCCAGAATGTGGGGGGCACCAGATGACGGGACTGCCTTCCCTGGGCCCCCAGATGGGGGCTGCCCCTTCTGCCTCCTTTGCTCCTGGTGAGCACCCCCCCTTTTCTTTTGCACTAGGACCCCCTCCCTGAGGGGTGGGGCGTGCCAGGGACCCCTGGGGCCCCTGCCTCAGTTTCCCTCTCCTACCCCAGTGGTCTTCAAGGCTACAGCCTCTATGCAATAAACAATAACAACGCTTGCTTCAGCCCTTTGGCCCTTCCTGTGTCAGGAGGGAAGGTGAAGCGCTTTTGGGAAGGGTGGATCCATTTTACAGGTGGTGGGGGAGGAACTGAGGCCCAGAGGGGGAGGTGGTCTCCCCAAGATTCTGTACAGGGTCCTGCCCCCCAAGCAGCAGATGCTTGGCTTCTTACGGTTTATTGGAGTTATTCAACTGGAGAGGGCTAGGGAGCAAAGGAATGGGAAGGGCCCCCCCAACTCCTCAGTCCTCCCCCCCACACCCATCCCCCCTCAGCTGGGAGGAGAAGTGGTCTATACTTCTTTTTCTTAAAAAATATATATATATAGATAGATTGATTGATTGATTTATCATCATCTCAGCACCTTGCCCTAACCATTCCCTGGGCCTTAGCCCCTTGAGGAGCCCAGATGTCCAGCCCATGGCCACACCAGTGGGCAGACGGGGGAAGAGTTCAAGGGACAAGAACAGGGCTGCTGTGGGATCCTCTGATCTTGGGGTACTTCACCTGGGCCTGGCCCCTCAGTCCTGGCCAGGGAGGAGGCCAAAGTCCTGCCCAGGGCTGTACGAGGTCCAGCTGGCAATGTTCCTGGGAAGAGCCTGCTGGTCCCAGTATGCCAAGAACTTGGGATGAGGGGCCCAGGGTCCTTCCTAGAGGAGAATGTCCTGGGGGTGGAGGCAGAAACAAAGAAGCCAGCCCAGGCTGGCAGCCAGTCAGGGCCAGGAGGCAGTGTCCAGGGGTAGGGCTGGCTAGGGTCGGGGTTCAGGGGCACTGGGGAGCCACAGCATCACAGGGCCCCGTGCTGGGCCTGGTAGCGGGACAGCACCGCCCGGTAGTGGGAGAGCTCCTGGCGAACCGCCACCACCTCCTGTCTGAGCAGGGCGTTCTCCTTCTCCAGGAAGGCTGCCCGCACAGAGATCTGGTTCTCCTTCAGCCGCCGGGCGTCCCGAGAGCGCTTGGCAGCCTCATTGTTCTTGTAGCGACGGCTCCAGTATTTCTCGTCCTGGGGAGGCAGGCAGGCAAGGTTTGGGGCTCAGACAGGGCAGGAGGAACCGGCCCCTGGCCAGGTCAGTTAGTGCAGTCCAACCAGAGCCAAGCGTTCTTCTGGATGCCTGATAACCCAAAGGGCTGGTTAGCCCTCAGCCCCAGCAGTCTCCCAAGAGGGGAAGGGGGGACCTGGGCTCTTGAGGCAAGGCTGAGCTCCCTGCAGTGGGAATCGCTTGATGATGCCTGAAGAAGAGCTCCCCGGAGGAAAAGGCCTGAAGTACTGAGGCTGACCAGTCAATGATAACATGCATCTCCCTACAGACGATAGTCCAATGAATGTTCTGTGAAGGGTACTGCGGTAGCCTCTTTATCTTCGCTTTACAAACAGGGAAACTGAGTCTCAGGAAAGGGAAAGGCTCACCCTGGAAGCCAGCCAGTCAGCCTGGCCTGATACCCAAGTAGCTCCTGAGTAACTTCACCTAGTTCACTAACCTAACTAGCCCTGACCTCAGGAGGAAGGGTGCACTTGCTCCTGAAGCCCCAGCAAGGCTGTCTCCCCTAAGGGGCCAGCTCACCTTCTGCTCCTCAGGCACCTGCATCTTGGGAGCCTTCTTCATGATGGGCTGGGGCTTCAGCTCCTCCTCAGAGAAGCGATGCTTCCGGGGGTCAAAAGTGTCCTGGCCTGGGACGCTGGACAGGGCCAGGTCAGCTGGATCGGGGTCAAAGGTCATCAGCACCTCCACAGACTCGGGGTCCACAGGGCTGGGGGTGTCCCGGGAGGCCGGGCCTGGGCAAGAGTGAGAAGGCGGGGGAGAGAGTGACCTCGGGTTCCTCCTCCCTCCCAGTCCCTCCCTCCATCTAAGTGGGTTTGGACTCCTCCGGGAGTGTGACGTCACCCTGGGGGCGTCGTGTCCATCCCCCAGTCTCACTTCTCGTGGGCCCCCCTAACTGGACTGGGCACAGTCAGTGAGGGTGGGGGGGAAGTCTTTCTGGCAGTCTCGCCACGACCTCTCCTGCTGTTCCCTCAGAATCCCTCGAAGAGCCTGGGGAGAGGGAACTAAAGGATCGGAGCTAGAGGGCCACCCCCCCCAGTAGGAAGAATGGGGCGCATGAGCACACGCTTCTCCCCCCGCTGGGGCCAACCGAGGACACAGCGGCGGGGGCGGAGTCACGTGTCCAGAACTCCCCCCCCCGCTCCCGCCCCCGCTGCACGTGACCGCGCGCGGCTCGGGGCTGCGTGCCCTGGGGACTGGGGATGGGCTCACGTGGGCCCTCAGTGTGAGGCTGCGGCCCCGGGTGGGGCCGGGCCAGGGAGGACACCGGCTGCTTGACAGGCCGAGGCACTCCAGTTCCCAGCAGGCACCGCGGCAGAGGCTCGGGCTGAGAGCGAACAGCCTGTCTCAGGGGCTGCTGGGAGCTGTAGTCCAAACATGGCCTGGCTCAGATCTAAGAGGTGGGGGTAGCAGGTCCAGCGGTCCCCTCGGGGATCTCCCCCTCCCCGGGGCCCTGAATTTCCCCTCTCTCCTTCCCCCCCCTACTCCGGCGCACCTGCGCGCTGGGAGCCCGAGCCACCTGCGCCTGAGGCCCTAAGTCCCAGAATCTGTCCCCCCCGGGGACAGCCGTGGAGAGGCTGGCGTGGGAGTGGGCACGGGAGAGGAAGAGCTGGACGGAGCCGGGGACGAGGAGCTCGAAGAGCAGGACGGGGCGACGGCGTTAGGGGCGGGGGCTGCGCGGGGCGCCGGCGGCCCGGGGTCCGGGGGGCTGGGCGGTAGCCCGTGCTCCAACAGGAAGGCGTCCAGGTCCACGTCGTCCACGTCGCCGAAGGGCAGTGGCCGCTCCCACAGCAGCGAGGCCAGCAGGGCGCCGGGGCCCGGGCCCGAGCGGGGCCGGCCCGAGACCCCCAAAAGGCCACCCACTTCCTCACTGCCGCTGGCCACCGCCTTGCGCTCCTTCTCCTTCAGGAGACCTGGCGGAGAGACGGACAAGACGGGGCGGACGGGGGCGGGACGCAGCGAGGCACACGAGCAGGGGGGCGCACACAGAGCGGAGCAACCGGCAGCGGGGCGCACGGGTCACACGCAGAGCGGGGCATACGGGCAGCAGGGCACACGCAGACACAGTGGGACACACACAAACAGGAGCAGTGAGATGCACAGTGAGACGCATAGAGTGAGAGATTCGCGGGGCGGGGCAGGAGTGGGGGCAGAAGGTGAGACAAATGCAGGTGATGCAGAGAGGGCCCAGACAGCGAGTTGGGGACACCGGAGAGACCCAAGACGGTTGGGGGAAAGTACGGGGCGGGGCAATCCATGGGGTGTCCAGCACGAGACGGGGGCAGGGAGAGGCGGAGGGTGGCACAGAGGAGCCGGGCAGCACGGGGGGGGGGAGACGGTTGAGGATGCATGCGGGGACGCAGGAAAGCCCGAAAAGGGAGCCGGACAGGCACAGGGGGCGGAGGGGGGGGGGGGCGGCGGCACCGAGAGGTCGAGGCAGGGAGCAGGGAAAGACACCCAAGGGGGAGACAGAGGGAAGGGCAAGAACAGAGTCAGCGGTTTCCGACCTAGACTCCCCAGGGCCCTTTGCATCCACCCCAGGGTCCGTGCCCTCCCCTTTGCGCCCCCAGCCTCTGGCTAGGTCCTGGCCCCAGAAGGGGCACAAACCAGCAGGCAGGGCCAGGGGAGGGCTCCGCCCCGTCTCCCGCCCGCGGCCCCATGTGACCCCGGGAAGCTCCGCCCCGGCCCGTGTCCAAGCCTTGTGAGCTCCCGACCCCCGCCCGCCCATAGCCGCTGGGGTCCCGGGGAGGAGGGGACGCCTGGGTCCCGCCGCGGGACACTCACAGCTGGCCGGCAGCTCCTTGGTCTTCCCGGGCCCCTGCAGGAGGCTTCGCAGGCCATGCAGCGCCGCGCCTCCCGCTGGGCCGCCCAGCAGCTGTGGGGCTGGGGACCTGTCGCTCGAGGGCCTCGCCATCCCCCGGGGGCTGGGGGCCGTCACCGGCTCATGGGCGACGAGGATGCACCTTTGGAGACTCCGGACTAGCGGGTGCCGCGGTGCCCCGGGACAGAGACCTTTGCCAGTCCCGGCTCGCCTGTGCGTGGGAGCCAGGCGTCCGTGACAGCCCGCAGACCCCCCAGTGGGCCGGGCGAGCGCCTGTCTGCAAGGGGCCCCGGCGAGCCCAGGGGTTAGCGGGCGAGCGGGCAGCGGCGAGCGCCCTGTGCTTTAAAGCCCGCGAGCTCGTGCACATCAGAGGCGCTTGGCAAGCCTGCACGGGGGAGGCGTGTGTGTATGTGTGTCTGTCGGAGTGTGCAACTGCGATGGGAGGCTGGCCGAGGAGCAGGCGGAGCCAAAGGCGCTGCAAACTTCTTTGGATGCAAAAGAAAAAAAAACAGGCTGGGGGAGGGAGTGGGGTGTGGATTGGTGCAGGCCCCACAGGCGGCCTCTTAGCCAACGCCAGCCCCGAACGCCCCTCCTTCTCCCGGCCTGGCCTCGCCTCGTGCCTTATGGCTCCTCCTCCCTTTCTATCCGCCCAGCCTCACCAAGCTCCATATTCGTCGGCCAATCAGGGGGCGGACTGGCGAAATGAGCAGCCGATGGGAATGCTCCTGCCTCGAGTTTGTTCCCGGCTCGCTTTGACCCCTCCCACCCTCCCACTAGCGCAAGACGGGGAGGGAGTGGGGCGGGACCCTGACCTAGATTCCTCCAATGAACATTGGCGCCGTGACCACAGATGGGGGGACAGTGGGGCGGGGCGGGAGGTGGGGAGAGCACGTGGCCCCGCGCGTGCCACCCGCCAAATCCTGTGGACTGGGAAGGGAGAGTTGTTAAAGGGGCCATGGTCAGGCGGAGGAGCTGAGCTACAAATCCTTCCGATTCGGGAAAAGGTTGCGTCACCGTCCCCCTGCAGTTCAATAGATATTCCAGTGTAACCCCCTCCCCCTAGCCTTTGGACCCCAGCTTCTCCAGACCACACAAGAAGGGTGTTCTGTAATAGATTTAATAGATTTAGCGGGGGGGGGGAATGAGGGAAGGGGAGGGGGAGGGGAGGCAAGCAATTCCTCTTCTCAGCGGGCACCATCCACTGCAAGAAAAGAGGGGCGGGGGAGGAGGTAAGGTCGGGGCAGGACGGGCCCTACCACTGAAGCCAGAGGGGGAATTGGCTTGTACTTCTGGCCTGCGGTGACTAGGGCACGGAACTAGCCTCGGTCCCTGGACTGCGCTGGCTGTACCATTGTGTATTACCTTGGGGAAGTGGGACCTTATCATGCAGGCAGGGGATGGGGGTGGTCCTGAATGGACTGTACCAAATCCGAACTGTACCAAGTGTCTTTGGAAGGCCATAGTCGGGAGCGGGCTGCTGGATAGTCCCTGTGCTCCCGTGGGGGTGGTGGGGAAGGTTACCTAGGACGCCCTGGTTCTAAGAGGCAGGTCTTGGGTCGGGACACCTGGACGCCAGAATCCCCCGGGGGGTGCCCCAGACCCCGGGCTGATCCCAGAGTAGCTGGAGAGGGATGAACTACAAATCCCAGCAGGCCTCGCGGCCGATGGCTAGCCAGCTCCCTATGTTTCGGCCCCGCGGTTTCCTGGGGCTTGTAGTTTTCAGCGCGCTCTGGCATTGGGTTCGACTTGGGGGAGGGAGGGGGGCGGCTCCCGGCTCCTGGGTCTGGGGCATACCGTGCAGTCGGTAGTTGGGACCCCGGCAGCGCCTCTCCGGGTGTCGCGGGTCCCGGTTGCCTCGGAGGGCGCGATGGGCCAGAGGCTGCAGGGGCCGCCCATTGCCGCTGAGGCTCTGGAAGATTTGGGACGGCGGGTTCTGGCTCAGGAGCCGCAGAGAGTGCATCTGGGGCAGGGGACCAAAGAGAGCTCAGATGCTGAAGGCTAGAGGTAGAAGGTGCTTAGAGATGGCTCAGGCAAAGCTGAGGCCCGGGGAAGACAAGGACTTGCAGGTAGCAAGTCAGGGTGCAGAGCCGGGACAGGGAAAGGCGCTTAGAGATCCATAAGTCCAACCCCACTTCCCATCCCCCACCCCTCAGGCCTTCTGCTGCACTCAAAATCCCTGGCTAGTGAGTAAGGAGGAGGGAGCCACCTGCAGGGAGGTGACATTGAGGGCTCGGTCGATGAGAATCCAGGTGACAGTTTCGGAGCAGGGTGGGGTGCTCAGCGAACCCTGGTATGTGATAAAGCCGAAAGACTCAGGGAACAGCTGCTCCAGGCTCAGGTCCTGCACGAAGTAGGCGTCATCTGCCAGAGAGGCCCCCGTGTGAGTGAGAAGGAACCCAGCTGTTCTGGGCCTGGCCTGGGCCCCAGTTCTTCATCATTCCAGGAGGAACCCAGGAGTCCCTCCCCACCCCCCAGACACAGACCACTGGAAACTGGACACTCACTCTTGTAGGAGATCCGGGTGATGGTATCTCTGTTAAGGAGGCGGCTCAGGAAGGGGTTGGAGTTGGCAGCAACCTGGGGTGGGATGCCAAGGATAAGAAGACTGGCTGGCAAGGCCAAGCCTGGCTACCTAGCAGGAATGTCTTCTGATATCCCCAACCAGAGGTCATGGGGCCTCTGGCAAGCAGGGCAAATGTTCTGTTCTCACAGAGGCTCAGAGCCCAGGAAGAAGCTTCAAGGCCTTCTGGGGGCCCCAGCTCTGCCACTTACTCCCTGAGGGACCCACCCCAAGTCTCTCCCCATCTCTGGCTCCAGTTTCTGAATTTGTATAACAAGGGCCTCCAAGGTCCCTTCCAACTCTGAACTCAATAATTCTAACCTCCACCTGGACAAGAATCCCCACCCCCACCCCAAGAGATCATCTAGTCTTTGTTTGGAGTCTCCTGCTATGGGGACCTCCTCACTGGCCAGGGCAATGCCTTCTGGACAGTTCTCTCTGAGAGCAGGGTTTTCTTTACAGGCCTAAATTTGCCTGCCTTAGACTTCCACCCATAGTACCTGGGTCTGATCTGTCTGTCATATAACAGGCCTTCAAATACTCCCCCTATCCCCACTGCCATGAATCTTTCTGTCTTTGGCTAAACCTCCCCAATTCCCTCAAAGGAGACCTAAATCCTGGGTACTAAGGGGGGAGGGGGCCTGGTGAGGGAGAAGACCAGGGCCTCCATCTGGGTGCTGGGCGCTGAGTGGACACAGAAAGAGGGAAGCCACCTAACACTTCAGATAAAATAGGTTCACAACTGAGTGGTGTCCACATTATGGATACAAGACTTCTTGACCTGATCTAGTGACTCCTCAGCTCAAACCCCTCTTCACTAGCTCCTTCTGCTTCCTGAATCAAGTTTATTCTCCCCTGCCTGGATCATAATAATATTACATTAGCAAGATAGCTAACATTTATATAGCACTTATGTGTCAGGCACTGCTGAACACTACAAATATCTCATTTCATCCATTTTACTGATGAGAATACTGAGGCAAACAGAGGTTCTGTGACTTGCCCAGGGTCACCCAGCTAGGAAGGGTCTAAGGCTGGTTTTGAATACAGATCTTCTTGACCCCAAGCCTAGCATTCTATCCACTGGGTTGCCTAGGACCTTGCCAATGAAGGGCTCCCCAAGCGCTCCAGCCTTATCTTGGATGACCCCCAGTCTACTCTGTCTGGCTTGAGTCCAATTGGATGGCTCTCTGCCCTGGCAACTTTAGCCTCTGAGTCTTTGCTCACAGCCTTCTCGGTACCTAATGTGCCCTGTGCCTTCTTCCGTTTCCCTTCCTGGGTTCAATTCTTTACCCAACCTGTGAAGCCTACCCCCAAGGGCCTTCCTGCTCTCCCCTCTTCCACCTTTGTGCCTTCTTTAAAGAGACCAGATGGTGCTTTGAGCATCAGAGGGTCCCACACTGCTAAAAACACAGGTCTGGATGATGCCTAATTTTATATCAGGTATCCTCTATTAAAATGCAAGCTCTCTGAGGGCAGGCACTAAGTCTCTTTGAATCCTGGTGTTTACTGCTGTTTGCTAAGCCCAGAGTCCTGCACACCCTGTGACTTTCATTGCTGTTTGTTCAATGAAAGGCTGTTCCAAAGTATTTCGAGGTGCATTTAAATCCAGAACCCAGGGCTCTAGACCAGATGAAGTCTGTTCAGAGAAAGGTTATGGTAGTTGGCCTTGGCCTTGGCCAGAAAGCATCAGGGACACCTCTCCAAAGAAGTCCTTGGAGTCAGTCAGCAGACAGCTTTTTTTGGTATGGGGAAAAAGATGCCTCAGAGGGACCTCAGGAATCCAGTACTCAACTCCTGTCCTCTTAAGAACATGGACCCCCACAGTCCTCATGGCCCCTCCCCTTCATGCATCCAGCATCTCTTCCCTACAGTCCTCAGTCCCAAGGACCCAGGTTCCCCTTCCTCATATACTCAGGCATTTTTCCTCCTCAAGGATTTAGGCATCCTTTTCCCCAGGCTCTCAGATATCCTCTCCCCACTATCTATACCCCTTAGGGACCTATGAATCTATATCCCTGCTTCTACCACCTCGGATGCCCAGGTATTTGAACTCACATTCACGAAAAGTGCCAAGACAGCCAGTCCATTGGGACCCCGGGAGGCTGCACTTAGATTCCCATAAAGTTCTTGGTTAAAATGGATTAGCTGCACCTGTGTGGGGGGGGATGAACGAAGGCAAAGACAGACCCAGAGATGAGTCAGTGTCAGGAGTAGAGACTCCAGGTCCAGGGATGTGGTCAGAGAACTCAGCATTGGTAGAAGGGCTGAGCAAGACCAGGGATTGGGTCAGCATCAGGCTAAGTGTTGGGATTATGACTCTGTGAGGGAAGTCAGGGTGACCAGTGGCATCCAAGGCCAAATGATGGCCAGGCCAGTGGTGGATACAAATAGGGACCCATCACCTCTGCCGAGAAGCTCTCATGGTTGATCTGGTGCTCTGAACCGGCCCCATCTCGGGCCCCAAAGAGGAGACGAAGCTCGCTGAGTCGGTGGCTATAGAGGAGGGGTCCCCCAGACACATTGACTACAGGCCTTGGGGCTGGCAGAAAGGAGACGTGTCGACCAGTGTTGTACAAAGTCCCTCGAAGCTAAGAAGGAGAGAGAAAAAGGGGAACCAGAGGCAGAGAACTCGGGTCTCCGACCTGTTCCCTGCTCAGAATCCTCTCCAGAAGCAAACCCTGGTACCTGAGGCAGTGGGCCCAGAAGCCAATTCCGGCTCTGCCTCCACGTGGCTTCGAGACCCTGGGCAAGCCGCTGTCCCTTCTTTCCAGTCTGCTGCCTCATCTGTAATTGGGCCCCCGTTCTGTGCCCCTGCCCGCCCCGCCCCCACCACCACCCCCCCCAGCTGCCTTCCTTCGGGTCTTCCACTTTCTGGTCCCAGCCTCCTTTCCCCTCTCCAGCGTTCAGACCCAAGCCACTCTTGTTTCTCTCCTCTGGGCGGTCCTTCCCAACGGGTTCCACCAGCAGGATGCCTGCCCTGATCTCCTTCCTGGGCCCTGGGGATCTGGGGCCCAACAGTCAGCTGGAAAAGATCACCCGTAAAGGCCATTGCATCCAACCCCGCAGAAGGAGAGAGCTGGGCGTCGGGTCACTTGGGTCCTTGAATGGGCGGGGCTGCGGCGGGACAGCTGGGTCCCAGAAGAGCAGAGGCCGGGCCCCCTTACCTTCTCTCCACCCGTGCTGGCTGAGCCGCAGCGGGGGAAGGAAAGGGTCGTAGAGGACCCTCTTCAGCTCCACGTCTACGGGGCTCTGGCGCTTCCCCACGGCACACAGACTCCAGGCTGCGTTCACCAGGCCCCAGAAGGGCGGCCCTGGGGGTGGGGGGCGGAGAGGGGAGGTGGAGGCAAGGAGAAGTGACTGTCAACTACTACGGGAAAAGAAGTTTCACCTGTATGCCCAAGGGCAAAGGGGTGCCTGATTCTTTGAGGGGGTAGGGGGTAGGGGCTAGGGGAAGGAGACGCCTGGGTCCTTGCTGCCGTCACGAGCTGAAGGAGGGGACCCCTGGGTTTCTGAGAGTCTGCCAAGCCCCTTCCTCTCCGCCCCGAATCTGCCCCCACCTCGAGCCACCCAGCGACCAAACTACAACTCCCAGCAGTCATCGCGGAAGCTAGCTCGTTTCCCAGCTGCTCCTTTGCCCCAGTGCCTCATGGGGGTTGTAGTTTCGTGGGCCTCACGGTCGAGACCGGACAGAGCGTCTGGAGGGTCGTGGGACCGCAGGGGGCCGAGGGGGAGGGGTGGAGATCTGGGTCCCCGAGAATGGAGCCGGGGAGCCAAAGAGGCTGGCGCGACGCCCGCCCCCGCGCTTGGCTTCCACTCTCGCCCACTCACTACTTCAGATGCGCATCTATAATGGCTCCTTGGCCTTCGCGAGGGGAGCTGGGGGAGGGGACGCCGGGGTCCCAGGAGGGGCAAGGGAATGCCGGGAGGGATCCGGGGGAGGACAGGCCAGGGTCCTCGGACAAAAGGGGACGCCTAGGTTCCCCGGAGAGAAAGGGGTCTGGGAGAGGGGATGCTGGGGTCCCTAGGGGAGGGGCATGGAGCGGGGGGAGACTAGGGGAGGAGCAGACGAGGTCTCCGACGGGAAGAAGGCGGTCAGAGTGGTCGCCAGGCTCCCAGGAGGGCTGGGCAAGGGGACGCCTGGCTCTGGACTCTGGGGTGGTGAGCAGCGAGGTGAGGTTGGAGCCTCGAGGGGAGGGAGCTGTCTGAGGATGCCTTAGGAGCCCAGAGGAGGCGGGCCTGCAGGTGGTGGGGAGGGGGATGCTGGGGTCCCACACTGAGTGCACCTGGGACGAAACTTCCCTGGAGATTATCTTTGTAGGTCCACCAGTCCTCGGGGGCAGGCGCCGGGCCGATGTGAGCTGGGAGAGGGGTGGGCGGTGGGCAGAATTAATGCCCTCCTGTTCTCGTCCCCCTTCCCCCACCCCCACCTCCTCCCATCCCCGGCGTCCCTGGGTCTCTGGGGTATCCGAGGGGCTTTTCTTTCCACCTGCCTGTGTTCTCTCCCTAGTCTCAGAGCTCCGTCTTTCTCTCTGAGAAATCCCTCTAGGCGTTCAGAAGTAGCCTTCCCCTCACCCCCCCCCACCCCCAGAGGTGTGTCTCTCTCTGGCAGGTCTCTGGCCTCCTTCTCTCTAAGTCTCTGAGAGGTCTCTGCGAACTCTCCGAAATTCTCTCTGCGGGATGTCTTCCTCTTACAACTCTCCGTCTCCCTCACAGGGAGGAGAGAAGCCCCCTCCCCCTCACTGCCTAACCCTATCCCAGAACTCTTACCTGCAGCCCCTAAGGCAGCCCCAAGGAGCAGGGCCCGCGGAGGACTGAGGCGCGCTGGGCCCCCCATCTCTCAGGCTCCAACGTCCAGGCAGCGATGCCTTCAGGGGTCTCTGTCTTTCACACCCCCTGCTTCCTCTTCCCCTTTGACCCTTCTATGTCTCTGTCTCTCTATCTCTCAATGAGTGTCTGGGGTCTCTTCTCTTCTCTATATTTCTATCTGTTTCTCTTCTGCTTTTCCGTGGGAGATAATCCCCTCCTTCCTCTTCTATCTAAGGGCCTGTAGTCTCCAAATATCAGAATAATGGAAGGGGCTCTCACCCAGGGTCCTTCTCCCCTGCTCTGAGCCTGTCCTTCTAGCTTTCCCTGCCTTTTCCCTCTCCTCCCTTTCAGTCTCTCTCTCTCTCTCTCTCTCTCCTCTCTCTCTCTCTCTCTCTCTCTCTCTCTCTCTTTCTCTCTCTCTCTCTCTCTCTCTCTCCTTTTTTTTCTTCCTGTCTCTGTCTGCCGTTCCTGTCTTTATCTCCCTCTCTCTGAAACTCCCTTCTCCTTCTCTCTCTTCTTTCTCTTCTGTCTCTGGCTTTCTGTCTCTCTCAACACCTTCTTCCCTTTTTTCCTGTTTCTGTATCTGTTCCCCTTCTGTCTTTTCTCTTCCTCAGTCCATTCCTTCTTTTTAAACCTCCTCAAATTCTCATCCCTCTCTTTCTCTTTCCTTTCTCTCCTCTTTCCCTGTCTGTTTCTCTCTCCCTCTCCCTCTCTTTCTTTCTCTCTCTCTCTCTCTCTCCCTTCCACCCTCCCTTTCTCCCTCTCCCTCTCTCTCTTTTCTCTCAGTATCTTTCCCCCTTTTACCTTCACCACTATTACCACCCTTATCTGCTTTCCTCCATCTCTTCCTTCCTCTCTCTAGATCTCTCCCCACCTTCTATTTTTCTCTCCCTCTCTCTACCTTCATCTCTCAATCCTACCTTCCCCACCGTCTCTCTCGATTCCCTCTCCCTCTCCTTCCCCCTCCCCTCTCTCTGCCCCCTCCCTTTCTCCCCTGCTTCTCCCTCCCTCCCCCTCTCTCTCCTCTCTTTGCCCCTCCTCTCCCCTGCTTCTCTCTCCAATTTCTTGCTTCTCCCTCCCTTCCCCCCTTCTTTCTACATGTTTCTTGGTTTTGGAGGGTAGGGGCTTGGGTCAAGGAATTGGGGGAAACAATTAGTGAGAGGAGGGTCCCCTGTCCAGGCTGCACTGGGGGGGAGGGAGTGGTCCAGACACCTGGGGCCCCTTCCTGGCAGCTCCCATTCTCTGCAGGAGGAAAGGGCGAGGGGGAGGGGGAGCCTTAAGGTGGATCGGGAAGAATCCTTGTCTTTCCTGGGCTTGGCACTTGCCCTCCTCCTACCTGCTTTCCCCCAAAAAACCTCCTGATCTTCTCAGGCAGCATCAGGCCAGCCTTTTAACCAACTCTTCCCCCCTCTTCACTCCATTCTGCGCCTGGGGCTGCCTTAATAGAGCTTGGTGAGCCTCATGGGGAAAGTCTGGCTGTAGTAAGTAGGATCAACCACCAGAGGGAGACAAATACCATGAAAAGAGAGGTCAGTCAAGCCATGGGAGATACTATCTCTAAGGGCTAGAAAGCTAAAGGCAGAGACCGAAAAGAGGCTAAAAGCATGGGGTGTCCAAAACAGCAAGGGGGAGAATAGCAATAGATTTATGGTGACAGTCAAAGACAGAGGAGGAGATAGAGAGTGAGAAACACCAAGAGAGACAGACCAGCTTACTGAAAGAATCAATCAATCAATGAGCATTAATTAAGCGCCTACAATGTGCCAGGCGTTGTGCTAAGCTCTGGGGATACAAAAAGCAGCAAAAGACAGTCCCTGCCCTCAAAAATCTTACAATCGAATGGGGGAGACAACGTCCAAAAAAACTATAAACAAAACCATCTGTGTACAGGCTATACTTGAGCTAATTACCAGTTGGAGGGCCCTGGAATGAAGAGGGGCTGGGGAAGGCTTCCTATAGAAGGTGGGATTTTGGTTGGTACTTAAAGGAAGCTAGCAGTTGGAGCAGAGGTGGGAGAGAATTCCAGGCATGGGGGACAGCCAGAGAAAATGCCCAGAGCTGAGAGATGGAGGGCCTTGTTCTAGGAGCCGCAGGGATTAAAGGGTCCTTGTTAGGGAATAAGGTGTAAGAAGACTGGAAAGGCAGGAGGGGGCTGGATTAGGAAGGACTTTGAAGTCCAAGCAGAGACTTTTGTACTTGTTCCTGGAGGCAATAGGGAGCCACTGAAGTTTATTGAGTAAGGGAAGGCGGGGATGTAACTCTATCGGACCTGCCTTCAGTAGATGGATGAAGAATGAATTGGAGTGGGGGCTTGAGGCAGGCCAGCAAGTTATTTCAATAGTCTGGGCATGAGGTGATGAGGTCCTGCCCTAGAATGGTGAATGAATAAAAAAAGCATTTATTAGTTACTTACTATGTGCAAGCACTGTGCTGAATCTGCACTGGAAATACAAACAGAAAAGCAGGTCGTACCTGCCTTCAAGTAGCTTACATTCTAAATATAAAGGAAGTTTCAGCTGTTAGGTGAAAAGGCTCCATGTGGGGTCCTTAGGGTTCAATAGCAAAGCAGATGGTCATGCATCTTTCATGTCATTTTCAGCAGTGAGATCCTTTTTGTTTCTGGCACGGAAGTTTTTGACAGCGTCAAGACCTTGGGCGGTAGGCACAGTAGCTGCGGCTGCGGCAGGAGAAAAGCCATAGCTTGATCCCTCTCCACGGGGGTGATGGCTGGGGGATGGGCTGGAAGGTGTGGGGAGGTGCTGCTGCTCCCAGGACTTTGGGGCTTGCTTTCCCAATCCTGTTATTTAGCATTGGCCATGGCAAAGAAAGTGGGCCCCTTCTCCAGTGATGGACGCCAGGTTAAGGGGCTGCTGGTTTGAAGGGCACTGGTATTCTAGTTTCATGGCTTCAAGGTCCTAGGCTGTGAGAAGATGGCAGTCACAGTGATGATGGTGATGGTACTCACCACCTCCTGACTCTCCCTTAGGAGCTCAGTGCTTCAGCTAGGCTGGCTTGCCTGCCTTGCAGGAACAGATTGACTAGCAGAAGGGAGGTGTCTGGAAACTAAGGGGACCTGGGGCCTCCAGACAGAGGGACAGGGAGGGCTCTGAAAGTCTTCAGGGAAAGTGGGGGAAAGGTACAGAGAGAGGAGGGAGGGGGAGGTGGCTAAACTGGAGAGCAGAGAAGAGGCCTGTGTTGGGCTCCAGCTGTCGATTTCATGGCCATCAGTCTCGGGCACTGGGAGCAAGGTTGGGGTCATGGAGAAACACATGTACCAGTCCTTTCCCTTGGCAGGCAGGTTCCTTCCATCCGTCCCACCCCCACCCCATCCCCCACTCCCCCAGGCCTCCTAGCCAGCTCCCAGTAGCCATTCTAGCACTGGGGAGGAGAGGGAGGTCAAAATCTTTTGGCCTGGGGGGCCACTCTGGCCACCAGCCTCATGGGAGATAATGGGGTCTGAATCTCCAGCCATTGATAAGATCCCGAATTCCTTCTTCCCTGCCCCAGAACAGGACCTGCATCTGGGAGCGGGCTACAAGTTCAATATGAAGGCAAATAAGAAAGGTAACAGGATCTGAGGCTGCCTTAAAAGAGGGCAGAGTTAACGGGAAATGGGGAGGGATTGTTCTATTGCACACACACACACACACACACACACACACACACACACACACACACACACCCGTCACACCAAAGCTATGTGCAGAGTTCAGCTCTGGGCCAATGGCAAAAGAAGGACATCAAAAAAAAAAAACCAAACCAGAATATTCAGGGAAAGGAGATCTGCACAGGGAAGGGCCTAGAATTCCTAGTATACACCAGCATCTGTTGAAAGAAGTGGGGAATGGAGAAGAAATTGGCTCCCGGGAGACATAATTATCTTTGTTCTGTTTCACCCCAGAGGGCAGAACCTGGATCCCAGGAGGGAAAGTTGCCCAGAATCTAATTTGGACTTGAGAGCTGGAGGAACTTGGTAGGTTAAGGGTGGGGCTCCCTTCCCACCTCCAATTAAAGTAATTGCCAGGATTTAAGTGAAAGGTTGCTCACAGCCTGAAGGTTTAACAGTTTGAAGGGGTGGTTTCTTCCTGAGGTGTGAACTTCTCTTTAATTGGATCAAGAAGGGAAGGGCATGATTGTCTAACCAGGCCTCTGGGAGCTTTAAATAGCAGAGGAATTTTCACAGTTGAATCAGTCTGCAGCCAAGTAACCAAAGGACTCAGGGGTGCCTTGGGAAGCAGGCCTTGGCACCTGTACCGCAGGGAAAGTAAAAGTGGGGGAAGCGAGCCCCAGACCATCTTCAGGGATGTTTTGGACTTACTATTCTTATCCTACCTTCTTAGTAATACCTAAAAACTCGTTGAAGCTACTAGCTGATGGAAATGGGAAGCACCCTGTTGGGGGCTCATAGAAACCCCCAACCATCCGGGTTACCCTCTGAAAGCTGAGGAGGAGGAGCTGACCCCTGAAGATTCTTCCAGATAATTTCAATGGAGAGGGGGATGGTGAGGAAGCTGGGGGGAGGAGGGAGAGGTTGTCCCAAAGTGTAACGGCCTGCCTGCATGGAGTGTGTTTCCTTTCACAGGGAGTCTTCCATCAGAGACGAGACGACCATCTGTCAGGTATGCTGTATGGGGAATTCTGGGCTACAGGCCCCTGCTGTTTCTTTTAACTTCAAGATTCTGAGAATCTGACTGGGACAAAGCCGAGGAATCGTTCTCTGCTCCTTCAGTGAACAGCACAACCAACCAGCCTCTAAACGTTTATTGATTAAGCACCTACTGTGTGCCAGGCACCAGAGATACAAAAAGAGGTCAAAGATTTTCCTTGTCCTCAAGGAATTTGCAGCCTAGTGGGGGAGATGACTTGGAAACAAATATATACAAAGCAGGCAAGATGCAGCATGAATAGGAAATAATTAACTGAGAGAAGGCCTGGGATTAAGAAGGGTTCGGGGAGGCTTCCCCTTAGAAGGTGGGATTTTAGCTGCAGCCTGAAGGAAGCCAGGGAGCTTGGTAATCAAAGTGGAGCAGGGAGAGCGTTCCAGGCATGGTGGGCGGCCAGAGAGAATGCCCAGAGCCGAGAGATGGAGTGTCTTGTTGGTGAAATAGCCAGGAGGCCCGGTGTCACCAGATCCAAGGGAGGTGTGAGAAGACTGGAGAGCTAGGAGGGGGCCAGTTGGAGAAGGACTTTGAATGCCAGAAAGACAGTTTTGTATTTGCTCGTGGACGCGATAGGGGGCATCTGGAGTTAATTGAATTGGGGGTGGGGTTGATATAGTTGGGCCTGCATTTTAGGAAACTCACTGGTGGCTGAACGGAGGATGGCCTGGAGGGGGAGAGACCCGAGGCAGGCACACACCCCCAACAGCTGTTGCCATAGCCCTTGTATGAGCTGATGAAGGGCTT